TATGACCAAAATCAAGATCGTGGTGCGAAAACACATCGGAGTAAGTGTTAAGTTTGTTGGTGAGCCTCCCTTTCCATTCTTCGGACAAGGGCGAAGTACCGAAGTCAAAACTGAGAGGAGGGTTTGAAGGTGAAGTCTGTTGCTGCGAACTACACGCCGCAAGTACTTTCTGATCACTTTTGTCAGGTTCTGGATATGGCATAACACGATCGGCTTTAACTAACTCAGCGATCACACAGTTAGTGGGTAATGTGATGTCATGGTTAGTTTCGTTTCTTAGTACAACAGGTACTTTGTATGGACCATGTGAAGGTAAGGAAATGAGGCAACAGTCTACAATTATACCCCCTGGTAGAGAACCATTGGTGGGTTGTTCAATGAGTGCATAAGGCTCATGCTTGTTTTGGCTGGGTTGCATAAACCCTTCTAGTAACAGTTTTTTATTTGCAGGGAGAACTTCTTGGGTTCTCCCTCGAAGCTTCACCACACCAACTCGTCCATCTTTGCTTTGTTTTTTTCTGACTGCTAAGGCTTTTAGCACGTGTTGGTACCCATAAGAGAGTGCCTTGGAATCAGGTAAGTTATTGGCAGACAATTGCTCATACAAAGGATCGAGTGTGTTTGTGCCAATGAGTAGTGGTGTATCAGAGTTTGAGCTTATATCCGGAACCACTAACGCAAGGGTAGGTAACTCAAGTCCAGACTGATCGAGCTCTTTTGGAAATGTGACACTTATCTCTATGTATCCTAAATAAGGAACTGCTTGACCGTTTGCGCCCTCGACTTCTAACAGATTACTGATGGGTTTAATTGAGAGGTCAGGTAAGTGTTCTTGGTAAAAAGAATTGGCAATGGTGGTTACCTGGGACCCTGAATCCAGTAAACAATTACATTCAACACTGTTAACTGAGACTGTAGCTGTGCATCGCCCACCCACTAATCTTTTGGGAAGTTTTGGCACTGAATGAGCATGAACTGGCTTGCAAAAAAGTCTCTCTGTCCTTTCCTTAGAGGGACTTGGTTCTACTTTAGCACCTATCTGTCCCACGATAGGAGCTTCTACCGGTTTAAAGGAGGAGACTGAGCAATTGGCTTTGACATCTCCCACTCGCGCTGCTTCTGTCTAAGAGCAAGTCTTTTAGTTGCAACTAGTGCTGGATTTGGCTCGTTGCTACAGCTAGAAGCTATGTGCCCATCTTCTCCGCACTTAAAACAGTATCCAGGCTTTGGTCTGGGCACCACTGCTGTTATCTGCTGAATCTGTTTGGGCTCATCTGGAATTTTAGTCCCCACACGGGGTTTTGACTCTTTTTGAGTTTTCTTTGCCTTTTTATCTGTGTTGTTAACCTTAAGCTGTGCAATTTGGCTCCTGAGCTCAGCGATTTGTTTGCGTAAGTCATCACAGTTATCATCTATTTCCAGTTCACAAGTGTTTTTACTCTGAGAGCATGTTGTTTGCACATTTGAATACACTCTAGTTCGTTGTGCCCCTAAGTGTTGTTTCATGCGTGCTGCTTTAGTAGCCTGTTTGTCTTCTTCAGTGCGCAGTTTGAGGAGAAGTGCTGTAAAATGAGGCGGGTTGTCTTTCTTTTGTTCGAGTTGCAGGTTTGAAATCAGCGAGCTGTCCCAACAGCCTCTGCAAAACTGCTTGAGCAGCTGCTGGTCGGCGTCACTGGAGGAAATTCCATTCCTCTGAATAACTAGGTTTAACAAGGTGTATAACCTCTGAAAGTAATCGGAAGGTTTTTCACCACTGTCCTGGTTTGTGTTTAAGAAGCGAGCAAAGAGCTCGTCGCCGTCTTCGACAGCTGCGTAAGCTGAATCGAGATGTTCAAGGTACGTTTCCGGGTCGGATTTTGGACTAAGAGCTTTAACGATGCTCGCTGCTGGGGCTGACAGGCTCTCCACGATTCTTCGTACAATTTGGGACTTGGTGAGTGAAGGATCATTTATGCATAACACTACACTACTACGCCAAGTATCATAGTCAGTTTCAAAAGAAGGGTGTGGAACTCGCCCTGAGAACGGTTTTAGTCTGTATTGTGAAGTAGGCGGAGGGATAACCTCACTGCTTTTAACAATGTGTTCCACAATAACTCGCTGAACCTCAGGTGTGTTTAAAAGATTTGGTGGAATGCAAGGGTTTTGTTTTCCAGTCTCTGTAGGTGGACAATTGTCCTTTGAGTTGTTCATATAGTTAACTTCTGGTGTTAAAGGCAGGGAATATGTAACTTGGTCACTATGGAGCATTGGCTCTGGTTCAGTGACTGGTTCAGATGCATGGGTATCCCTTCCTAAAGATTCCCCAATTTTTGCCAGTTCCTCCATTAGAAGGTCTTTAAATGATTGATTGCTACGCGCAGCTATGTCCCTGAGCTCTGACAGATAGGCATCAGTGGCAGATGTGCTAGTTTCTAGACTGTACGCGCTGGCTAGGTCTTGAATATGAAAGAAAACATCTGGGTTCCTAGTACAAGGTTTGTCATAGGGTAAACATTGTTTCTTTAATTCCTTAACAGTGGCTTCATGTTGAAACTCCACAATAATCTGATCACAGTTTGGTAACTTAATGCGCCTGTTAACTGGTCCGAATCCTTCCATAAACCCAAAGACTTCGTTATCAAGGTCTGTATCAGTTAACCCACTGATTAAAACAGCATTTGAAACTTTGACCTTTTCTGTTTTCACAACTTCCATTTTAAAACACTCAAAAGTACCAATAATGCCAAAATGGCAAACCACTGTGACCTCCAGGCACTCTTATGATGTCAGTCAATGGTTAGCTAAGGTAACAACTCTACAATTCTCCTGGCTGGCTCGCCAAGTTTTATGTAACCGGATTACAGGATACAATAAGATAATTAAAAGAAAAAATAAACAAATGGGCCAATAATTAGGTTCGGGGAGAATTGGAGGTTGTTTAAGAATGACTGGAGTCACGGGTATAGCATGAAACGGTTTATATACTAAATTTTAATAATAACGGGAAATATAACACATAAAGATAACACACAAAAACAGATGAAAACAATCGACAATAGTAAAATGCTCGGTATGAGATTTGATCATATGAGTCACAAGTCAGCCGGCGTCAAGTCAAATCCCCACGCTTGGGGTGAAAGTCAGAGTCCGGTGGTGCGATTTTTTCCTACCACACCGTTGAGATTGTTCACTGAAGAGAGCAGTCTGCTCTTCAGTTACTTGAGATGTCCTGGTTCGTTCAGTGGTTAAGGCTCGCCATCTCCCTCGTCAGGAAGAAATCCAGTTCTCGTTCCAAGTGAGTGATCATAGGAGTCGGGATCAAACCCAAGGAAAAAAAAAACCCAGCCAACGCGCTCCAACGGTTCCCTCCTACAGAGGATTGGTTCACTCTGTCGTCTCCACACAAATCGCGTTGGTTCCAAGTTCCTAGCTCTTATTAGAAGGAGTCAAGTCCGCCTCTCCCTCTATCTATGCGGCACCCAAATCAGGGTTCTTCACGGCCTCGACCGTTGTTTTTTTTTCTCTCTCTCTCTCTCTCTAACCGCTCAGTCTTTGCTTTCTGTATCTGCGTGCTGCACAGCCGTTTGTCTCTCCTCTCGCTCAGCTGCGTCGCACGGTTTTATTTCGCGGAGGCGGGACTTATTTCTCTCAGCCAATGAAATTTCAGATTCCCACCTGGACCAATAGTATACAGCTTTCCTCTTCTGTTTCTGTTAGTGATGTTCAAGATTCTTGTTTTAACCGATGTTTAATATTAAACTCGTTATTTTAGTTATTCACCCTTCCAATAATTCATTATGAAATTATCTATTAGTTAATTAGATATCTATTAATTAGTATTGTTAATTTCCTTAATTTATATTTTATATTTTATCTAAATTGAGGATGGATCATATTAGTAAGCCAATTAGTTAATACCTCATTAAGGTTCTAGCTTCTGGGTTACATGTGCATGTGCACCATGAGAGCATGCATGCTCATTGTGAAAATGTCTGAGCTTTGCTAAGCCTCCGTTGTTTCAGGATCCTAACTGCATCTCTCTATTCAGGAGTTTCATGATGGTGCTTAACATTTTGTCTAATTTCATGCAAATAATCATGCGGCATTCTCTGATTTTGGGATTCTTTTTAGTTGAGTCAGGTATTATGTTGCTAGGAGACAAACACAGCTGTTACAACCTGGACGTGGAGACGAAAAGGGGAGGAAACTGAACGAGTCGTGTGTAATACAGAGAAATGGGTGTTATCTTTGGGATAGAAACAAAACACTCATTAAATACTATTTGTTTTCATTTGCAACAGATGATAGAACTGGTTTTGCACATTTTTACTCTTTTTCTGTGTGCGCGATTAATGAATCAGACGTAAATGAAGGAATCATTTCACCTGGGCTCATGATGAGGCAGCTCAATGATGCATTATTCTCTAATGTAGCTAAATTGGGGTTAGGGTTAGTTTTTTTTCTCTCCTTGTACCTTATACACAATATTTAATTAATTGAACCAGTGAACTCCAGACTGAGAAGCATCATGGTGTCATTTCAGAGGATAATGACATTTTATAGTGTGTGTGTGTGTGTATGTGTGTGTGTGTGTGTGTGTGTGTGTGTGTGTGTGTGTGTGTGTGTGTATGTGTGTGTGTGTGTGTGTGTGTGTGTGTGTGTGTGTGTGTGTGTGTGTGTGTGTGTGTGTGTGTGTGTGTACGCGCGCGATAGACATAATGTGCCAGTTTGTTCCAGGTCCAGATGGAATCTTGGCCCGCCTTCTCTAAACCCGTGCAGAGGACCTCATCTCTGCTTGGTGTCCACTTGTCAGAGCCACACACGCCTCTATGCTTTGGAAAAAAACTTCTTGAAGAAAACCTCCACTGTTTGAGGATAATGTTTTCAGATCAGCATGATTAACCTCAGCTCTCTTTCTTGGAAACTGATTTTCCTCTTATAACTGAAGGACAAACTGTATGAGCTTGGCTACTTTTATTCAGTTTTATTCAGATGTTAATCATTTTTGTCTTTCTTACCTCATAAAAACTGAAGCAGGTGAATGACTCATTGAAAGTTATTGTTATAATGAAGTTGAGGAGACACAGATGAATGCATGATGGCTTTTGAAGATTATCTGCAGAGACAAGTAAAACATCTTGAAATTACAGTAAAAAATGTACTCATCAGCGACATTTAAAGCTGTTAAAGCTATCCTACAGAACAGGCTAGGTTTTGAACACAAACATGGTCACAGAGCACTCACCCCTCCCCTCGGGTATCTTCCCTGAGGCTTCTGCTGGAACCAGAATCCTGCAACGCCGAAGGAAGCAAGATAGTGCTAAACACCATTCGCATTTTCAAGGGCCAAACGTCTGTTGTTGTCTGTGACTTCAAATGGTGTGTTTCTTTTTTGGGATTCTGGTAGTTTGTCCTAAAGCTGAAGTGGTAGCAGCCGGCTGAGTGTCCTTCTTTGATATTAATGAGTGGAGAAACTCTCACACCAGTGGTGTTCTGTTGCTGAATATGTGAGTGTGTAACGAGTGGAACTCTGGCAGTTCAACGGGACCGACAACCGGATGGTTCAATGGTTGCTTGTTAATGGTGGAGTTATGGTGTTTATGTGATTCTTCCCCGTGAGATATTGGAAGTGTGGCGTGACCGTGTGTGACCAGTTGAGACGTAGTATGTGTAATGGTTTAATTTACATTTTATTTCATGAGCCATAAGACATAAGATTCCACCATACCTTGAGGCAATATCTCATGCAGTTTGGTTCTGTGTCAAAGGAGGGGGGGTAATGACTTTTAGGTGGAAAACGGTCATTTCATTCCATTACATATGTTGTTGATGTCACATCAAACAGCCAGTGAATGTTAGCAAAAAACAATCTCTCACTTCAGGATCCACTCATGGGCTTCAACAGCAAATTGATTAAGAATGATTGTGATTGGTGCAATACTGCATGTGTCACAGAAAGTGTAAAAGTTACCTGCTCTAATATATTTCACATCATCATCTGTTGGACTGACGAGTATTGGTTGGAAAAATTGTACATACTTGACTTGTTACTGGGAATTGCCCTCTACATTGAGTATGTAGGTGTTGTATCATTTCAAGCATGAGAGAGGGGGTGGGGTGGGGGTGGGGGTGGGGGTTGGGGGGATGGAGTTACAGCTATGTTCAAGTGGCGGTGCCAGGGGGGGCGCTAGGAGGTGCTATAGCTACCCCTGGATTAGTCATTGCACCTTCAAGTAATTACTTTTTTTTTTTACAGTTTAATTTTAATTTAACGTGTGGATGTGATAACATTTAACATACAAAACAAAAATAATCAGTAAATTATCATATAGATAGTAAAAACTTAAACCAAAACAGGAAATTGATGTTAACTTTTGACCTCATTTTCCACCTGCGAAAGAGTGAAAGGTAGAGCTAGTGGTAAAACGGATCGGTTTTTGTTGCCCATATTTCCACGGGTTCAGTCAGAAACAAATGAATCTTTGGAAGTGAACTCAGACCCACAAAAACCTACGGATCTGGATGAAGAGAGTCAACCCTAAAACCGCCGCAGCAGTCGAGGGTTTTGCCGCTGGAAATGCTAACACTAACGTTAGCTAACCTTGCAACACTAACCCCTTCTTTCCACCGGAGCCGTCAGCATCACGTTACTGCAGCAGCACTTCATAGCTGCTGATAGGAGCCGCTGTGGTCAACAGAACCTTTTCCACCGGAGTCGTCAGCAGCCGTCAGCAGCGCGAGTGGGCCGCGTCTCAGGAGCAGCATGTCGCGGCCCTTACGCGCCGGTTCTATTTTCTACGCGCGACGCCTCTGAAACGGGTCAAGTTCGACATTTTTGGAGAAGGAAAGACAGGAAATCGGACGCGGAAACGGAGCGAAGCTCCCAAGATTTTCAGAATAAAGAAACATACTGCCTTCCGGTTGCTTTACTTTAAAAAAAAGTTACTAACTTCTAATAAAACTGGTGATAAAATCAATGACCAGAAAGAGTTATCAGTTAGTATTTGTTTTAATAAATGTGTTCAAATATCAAACAGCTAAATAACATTAACATGATGACAGTAGAAGGCCTCCCTCCCAGGAGGACCAACAGGTAAAGCCTCTCCTGACCCTGGACACCTGCAGTCCTACAGAGAAAATCAGAGACCACAGGTGACAAAAAGGCAATAAACACATTTTTACTTTTGTCCACATGAGACGATGAAAATTATATTCTTCACACAAACTTTTTACTTCATTATAACGTGTCAGCTGTGTAAATCCCCGAATGTAAAACTACTTTTCACAGAATAACTTCTGTGGTTGTGTGTAAACAGCTTCACTCTTCACCTCTAAGCTTAATAGAAATGCTTCTTTGCTCCGTTGTCCTTAAAACAAATGACAAGTATAATTCGCTACACACACACACACACACACACACACACACACACACACACACACACACACACACACAGGAATAACTGGGACCCGCGATACAAACTCGTTCTGGCTGATTTCTGTCTAAAATGTAATTTAAAGAACAAATATACAAACGAAAAATGTCTATAAACTGAACCGCTTTAAGCTTTTTAGATTTCTACGGCTAGTTTTTAACAAACTTACTGTACGTTTAAAACTTCGTAGCTCTCCCCATTTTTTCTGCCTGTTGAAAATCCACAGCCGGCTGTGAGGAGACAACGAAGAGGTTAGCTAACGCTACACAATGCAACAAAATGATGACATTTCATCAACTTACCGGAGAAAATCCTTCCGAAACACCGAAAATGAACTGCAGTCAATGCAGCAGCGGGGCTGTTTGGAACTATTCGAAACTACGTGAACCACGTGACTTCCCCATTCCATAGGAGTCTATTGAGCCCCCTTCAGACAGGCCATGAAAAACGGAAATGTTCCGGAATCTGTCCGTCAGACCTTTCTGTCTGAATACAAACATCCGGATAACGTGTTCTGGAATTTATCCGGACGAAGCCCCTAGTAACAGGTCCGGACTTGTTACGGACAGGGTGGCAGCTTCAGACTGGTGAGGTAAAGTTCCGGACAAGGGGGAGGGGGAGGAGGAGGGGACCGGGGGACGCTGTGCGCACTACCCCGCGAACCACGGCAGCTCGCCTCCTACGGTACCGTCTAGACGCGCGACGGAGCGCTTCACACCGCTTCAGTGATTCCTTTAACCATTGAGCTTCATCATCCAGGTCTCTGATGCGTCTTCGTGTGCACAGAATTATGCTTAAGCGCCTCGTGATTTTTATCTAGAGAGGCGCTATAGAAATGATATTTTCTTCTTCTTCTTCTTCTTAACATAAGTCCGATCCTACACCCCACCCCACCCCCCACCGCCGTCAGACATCTGGAACTTTTCCCTGCTGTGTGAACGCAGCCGAAAGGACAAGTTCCGGTACAAAAGTGGTGTGTCTGAAAACACAGTTCCGGTTAAAAACCGGATTGAATTGTCCACAAATGTTCCAGAATGTCTATCTAAGGGCTTTGGAGTGTCGTAACTCTCTACAGCTCTGACAAAACCCTGCCCTCCTCTCCCAGTGATTGGACAGGAATTCGAGAAACGTGATTGGTAGCCAAGACTCGTGCTCTCATTGGTTCCACCCAAGTTCCTCCCACTGACGCTAGAATCGAGACAAAACGATCTGTAACACTGTTGGATAGTTTGTACCTGTAGAATAAAATGTGTGTTTTGAGAGTTTTGATTTCAAACTTGTACCTTGATTTTTTCAATTTGGAAGTCTGCTAGTTACAAAACGAAAGTTTCATGTTTCTGAATGAATTTTTGATGTTACAAAATGAGTAGTAAATGTACAAAATAAAAGTTTGATTTTACAAAATAAAAAAATACATGTACCAAATACAATGTTCCTGTTACAAAACAAGAAATACAAGTATGAATTGAGAATTACAAGTTAGAAAACTAAAGTTACAAGTTACGAATCCAAAGTTACAAGTTACGAATCCAAAGTTACATGTGATGAAACATGTTCGAAGTTACAAAACTTGGTACAAGTTACGCTGAATATTGTCCCAATCCTAGTTCCATACCCTCAGGGCTACTTTGATGGTTGCTTCAGCTGCTGGATGACTTTTAAAACAAGTGCAGATCATTCCTTTACTGTAAGCTCAATGTCATGTTTGACATATTTTCTTATGAGAAACGACTAGAGGTGTGCGTGCGTGCGTGTGTGTTGATGCTGTAGGAAGAATCTATCATTCTATGGACTTTGTGACCCGAATGCAGCCCAAGAACCTGGAAAACAGTCCCAGCAGGACTTCAGAGCTCCATTAGTAATAGAGGTCGTAACCTCCCTGCAGGTTGGCAATCTGCCGTCAAGGGAGTGCAGCTCCGTTTGCTTATAGATCCTCCACAGCGGCAGTAGTGAGAGCTCTTAGAAGAATATTTTTGCAGTGGTTCTTATTTATGTGTTGCCATATTTACACCAAAATGATGGAACCAAAAAAATAAGTAAATGTGAGTTCTCCACCAATTCTCACTTTATTCCCAAGAAGTCACCTTTGGTCCCTGAGCGGTGTTTAGAAATGCTGTCTGCTGCAGGTTCATGAGCACAATGCATGCACAGACAGTCGACTGTTGTGTGAGACGAGGTGTGAAGTGACTGTGACCAGAATCCTAGTCAGACTGGTAATTCTATCCAATCAGATGGAGAGGGATGGGCAGCAGGTTAAGAGAGGAAAGCTGAAAATCCTTCCTTCTGCTTTTCATCCGTTTTCGCTCATTTCTCCCTCTGTTTTACTTTCTGCTCTTCTCCTGATCCCTCTGCTTTAAAGCACTTACTCTTCGGACCTTTACTGTTAAAAATGTATTAATTTAAATACTTCTAAAGAAAATAATACCTTTTGTGTCACAATAGCCTCATTTTCATCATAGGTCTGCTTTAGTAATGTGACCCAGTTGGGTTGCAGTCATTTTTTTCTCACTGTTTATTGCTTAAAGAAAATGTCAGCTTGAAACTTTGTGTAATGTGTCTTTTCATGTCTTTGTTCCCACCCCTCCATCCTCTCTGACTCACAGGAAACAAGATGGACGGATTTCTCAAACATCTGACGAAATAAAGCCAATACTAACCCACTTTCACCCTCCGTTTCCTCCTTCCTCACATTCAAAGGTAAAACAAATCTCTGACCCACTCCTGCTCTCTTCTTCACGCCAACGCGATGTGCTTCATCACCTCAGGAAGACTCATTCATATCCAACGTCCCTCTGGATGCTTCCTCCCTCCCCTTCCTCCCTCTGTGGGTGTAGCTGAGGGTTCAGAAACCAGACACTGCCTGAGTAGCATCTCTTTAGTATTTTTAGGCCTCACTGTAATTAGGTTGGTGGTATTAAGTTTTATTCACTTGCAATTTGAGATGCAAGATACCACATCTGACACGATTCCCTGCAACAAGGATCTATTTTAATATCTTCATTTAGCTGCATGTGTGATTTGGACAAAAATATCAGAGCAAAAGCCGCCAAAGTGGAGAATCATTCATTAAGATCGTTGTAGAACTATTACAAGACAATCACTGGAAGTACAATATGAAGAAAGTAGGGTTGGTTTAAAACTTTTGCACTGAACTGTACTGAGGGAAGTATCGGATGGGTGTGAGGCTTCTGGTAACTCTGTGATCGCCAGGGTGGGGTTGGTTGCACCAACAGTAGAGGTGATTGTCTCATAGATGTGGTGGTAGATTCTGACAGAGCATTGAGACAATCAGTGATGTAGAAACCTCTTAGGCTCTTTTTCTGTATTTTAAAGTTTCAGTGCATTTTTCAAATGATTAAATTTATTGATAGAAAAAATAAACCACAATTAAAACGAACCTGGCCCTGTGCGAAAAGTCATTTCTGCCCAAGTTAAACCATGAATTTACTCAAAGAGCAAGCTCACTGAGTTATTTTTTAACTTATTTTTTTACAAACGATTGTCACTCTGAGTTTCACATGCAGGCAGGATGTAAATAATTACGTCTTCTGCCCCATTTCCTGCGTTAGCTGCCGAAAGAAAACAGACGAGAAAACGCTGAGGACAGAAACAACCACACAGATGTGCGATGTTCTGTAAATGAACATTCATAGACTCACTTTCTGTGTCCCTCCGACCACCGCCAACGGGCAAGGCAGGTTAAGTGCCCAAGGATACAACAGCAGCATTCTCTGGAGGGAACCGGGTTTTAACCTACAACCTTCCGATTACTGGACAACCCGCTCTACCTCCTGAGCTACTGCTGCTCTGAAATGACCATGATATCAGTAAATAACCATAAATCAGGGACAGCAGTAGATTTTTTTCCCCTGCAGTTGCTTCATGAATGTCAGGGATTGATGTTCTCCATTTGAGGGGGGCTCAAGAGGTGGGGTTGCTCAGCTTGGCTGAAGCTATCCCCTGGTGCCGCCCATGCCCTAAATGCTCTCCTGAATAAACAAGAATGCATGAAGGCAGTCTTCTGTAACAGAGTTTAAATGGTTCTGTTTATTGGCCTAAAACCAGGGCTATCCAATTCCAGGCCTCGAGGGCCGGTGTCCAGCACATTTTAGCTGTAACTCTGCTTCAACACGCCTGATTTCAATCAACAGGTGATTAACAGGCTTCTGCAGAGCCTGATGAGCTGCTGCGCAGGTGACTCAACCACTGAATCAAGTGTGCTGGACCAGAGAAACCACTAAGATGTGCTGGAGACCAGCCCTCCAGGCTGGGACTAGCCCTGGCCTGAACCATTACACCAAAAAGAACTTATTTTAGAAAAGTGTGTGTGAGTTTTTATTTACCACCTCAGAGATTACTTTTACATCAAAATGTTCCTAACAGACACAACCCCCTTTTGTAAAGGGTTACAATAGAGTCTATTCCCTGATCAATCTGCACCTCACGTCCCTGTTGGTTTCCCACCCTCTGTTTCGGGCTAATCATCATCATCTCCTTGAAATGTTGCCACCAGATGAGCAGCCTGTGATGCCCCCTCATTTACAGGCTGATGCGACGCCTGACAGACGAGTCTGCGCCCTCTGTCAAAGGCTCATGACACAAATATAGACCCACAGCAGTTGTTTCCATTTCCCACGAGAGACGTTATTATTTCTGTCGCGCTCAAAATGCAAATGATTGTTAGAAAAGTCACACGACAAGTGAAATGGGTTTAGACCACCTTTTCTGTTTTAACACACCAAAAAGTTTCCTTTTGTTTTATTTTTGTTCCTATATGACACGTGTGTTGCTGCAGCTGTATGATGTGAGTAGCTAAAGCGAGTGTAGAGACAGGAAGTTGTCCTATTCCCACCATAAACGGTCTATTTAAAGTCAACAGTATGGGTTATATTTGTAAAAAGAGCACTGACACTTGTGATACAGAGCCGTTTGTTTTTCCGTGCTGTGTTTGCCCGATACGATCACGCTAACAGCTCGAGGATGTGTCATGAAAAAAGCAAGAAGGCTTTTGCTTACATAATCAAAGATTCTGCTGCAGTTCCCTCGCACCAGTCATCTTTTATCTTTGGCAGTTCCGCATCACTCGGCGTGGAAACAAAGTCGTACTCAACTCCTGTAGCCTTTTCCTCAGATTTGCTTGGGGCTAAAATATCCGCTGCTAGCAGAACACCCACGGGTCTTTAAAGACACCCAGCAGCTGAGCTAAAAAGGGACGAGAGAAGAATGCTAGGAAGAAATACGTCTGTATTTCTGTGTTTATTTTAGATTTTACAGCTCTATGGAACTGCAGTATTGTGTGTTTTAGTCCAGCAGTGCTGGAGGGATTTTATTGGATTGGAAGAAAAACTGCCTGCTGAAGGTTTTAAGTCTTGATGAAGTAGTTTGTAATGAAAATGGTTCAATAGACATTAGTCAAGCTGCAGTACTTACTCTGTTATAGAGCAGGAGTGGGCTTATTTTATCTAAAGCAACTGTCTTTTTGATTAAAGTAGACCTGCTTCTGCACTCTGAGTAGCTTGATCTCCTTGGCATGCAGTCAGCTTGTCTGAGGTGCTGATGGGGTGAAAGGATCATTTGTGTGAGCTCCAGTTGCATCCCCAGACCTCAGAGGCGTCGGCGAGGTCAGAAACTGTGCAGCCAAACCAGACGACTGGACCTCGATGGAGCTCCGACTGAAAAACATCGAGCTTCTGTGCCAATTGATCAACTCACTTTGAAGTTTACTTTTCTGTTTGGCAGAACCTTTGAGGACGTGGCAAACACAACGAGCGAGAATAAAGAGATGGGAGACATTGCTTTGGATACATTTTATTACTTTTTATTTTTTCAGCACATTTGTTCCACAACACCACATCAATCACAACAGCTTGGCGGGTTTTTTTTTCTTCACCAACAGCTCAAGCTAAAGTGTCACACATCCTCATCAGTTTGCTTCACAAATGAAACAATGGCCGAGCTCATTATGTGAACTTGAAATCCATTAATGTCTCCCACTCATTTGCCACCATAAAACACTTTTGTCTTTAATGCACATCATTGGAATTCACATTCCTTTATTTCATGATGTGATCATTCACTAATAATTTGCTTTAAAGCATCATAAAAGAAAAAAACAATCATGGTTTTATTTTATGTCCTGTGTCCCATGTCTCCCAGTCCCTTACATGTTTTGTCCCTTTCCTCTTGTGTCCTGTCCCCTAGCCTAGAGCCTCCTTTCCATCAGACATGAAAGTGTCGCAAAACAGCCGCAGAAATACATCGCAGCTATCAGCTGTAACATTTGGACACATCCCAAAAGCGAAGGGACGCCATCATTAAGTTTCAAGTCCTTTTTTTACGCACTATGCCTCAAAATCATGTCAAACGCTGCAGTTTAGATTGGGCCAGACAGGAAGTCAAACGCGAAAGGAGTGTAAAACATTTGGAAACTTTCAAAGTAAAAGTCGCTTGCAGATGAACATACATCATTTGTGAGAACCCCGCAGCAATCCAAACAGAAGATATACCACAGACCTTTTTTGATACATGCAACTGTCTTTCTCTTTGCTTGTGATGCTGTGGACTTCTGAAATCACGTGTGGTGTTCCAGCTCTCCTGTGATTTTGTGACCTCACAGGACCAGCTGCGTGGAACGCTTTGCTCCCGCTTCGCGTCTGAAATGTTCCCGGGTTGAAAGGAAGCTCGTGGGTAAAACGCTGCTATTGCGTTTGGTGGAAAGACGGCTTTAGCCTTTCATCTTATTTTTCAGCTTCCATCTGTTCACCTTAGTCGGGTCACTCCTCAGCTCCTGCACTGTTCTTTTCCCTTATTAAATTATTTATTTGGATTAGATGGATGTGTTTAGTTCCCCACCTTCTCTGTGTATTTTCTTCCAGCCTTTTAGTTTCAGTCATTTTCATATTTCTTTCCATGATCATCATCATCATCAACTTTATTCGTAGCGTGCTTTTCATCAGCTAGGAGGTGAGCCAAAGCGCATTACATGCATAAAATAATTTAAAGCATCACTGACCCAAGCAAGGGCCCACAAAATATACACTGAGACAAAAAAAGTTGATAAAACAACTCACAAAAACTGGATAAAATTCAACTATAATATCTAAAAATGTGGCGAACTCACATGCTGAGGGAACACAGTACAGAGATGAGTTTTCATCTGTGCTCTGACCAGTTTTCCCCAGTTTGGATATTATCTTTGACTCCTTGACTTCCCTTTAAAGGTGTGGTTCTCTGAAAACCCATTTATTAATTAATATTTCTGATTGTGATTGGACAATCTGATTTCATGCAGGCTAAACCTGAAAATAGTCTCCTACACCTATCTCCTGCATCAGATTCTGGTAGAAAGTACACGGTGAAACTCTAGGATTAGATCATCTTGACTCATGACCCCAGACTTGTGTTATTTGTGGAGATAAAACATCACCATTGCAGAGCACACACAGTCAGTGGTAGTGGCTGTGTTGTTAGAGGGGACATGTCCAAATATCAGGAAATAAGTATCCAAATCCAGCCGTCTGAAGCTCAGGTGTGATGTAGCTCACTTCGAAGTCTTGGATATGGTGCACCAGTGTCCACCCACTTCCCAAGTACACCATAAAGGCATTCATCCCTAATAGAAACCAGTGCAGATGTACTGATTAAACTAGTGTTCCACACCTTTAACTGTTGTTTGTCCACTATAGTTATTTTATTGTTATCCATTCTTCTGTTAGTTTATTCCAGTTATTCTTAGCATCTTTAGTCTTTTTAGTTTTTAGGTTTTATTTGACGTTATTTAACTTTCCTCCTGTGTCATTGTGTTTGCCTCCTTCCTCGTATCAGTTACACCTGTCAGTAATCAGCCATCTATCACACCTGTTACCCATCTCATCACTCCCCTCTGCGTATTTATACCCAGTTCAGTTCAGTTGCTCTTGTTGGTTCCTTTGTTATGTGTTATCTTGTTATCAAGGTCGTGCTCCTGACCTTGCTCGGCAAAATAGAAGTTTTAAAGCCTTTTCCTTGCTGCCTGCCATTGAGTCCTACCTGCTACAAACAGCCCAGTGACATTTATTTTGTCTCTAAATCCTTCAAGTCCAAACAAAGCCAGAATAAATATTTTTATAAATGAAATGAGCTTTTGGAAATAAAACAACTATATTGGTGTAATTCCTTAATGAACACCACTGGAAGCCACCAATTTCTTGTGGAAAACATACAAATTATGGGTGAAAATCATCTGCTTTGAAGTTTCTAGTTTTTCCTTTAGAAGTTGGTCAAATTTTGGTGTCTGATGAATAGATCTGCACAAAAGAAGCTCGACTGTCATCCTGCAGTGCTTCTCTTGTCTTTCATCTCTCGCTGCCTCATTCTCAACTTTGCACTGACGATGGTCAAAGCTGTTAGAAGTTGGCCCGGACCTTCATCCAGGAACTTCATGTTGTCATGTTTTCTTTCTCATGTACACAACAGACAGTTTACCCAGTGAGTCTCACAGCACACTGTCCTTGTTTCATAACTTTTATTTATTTCTGTCTGTCTCTTATTGTTTCTGAACTTTTTTTATGACTTTCTCCTTTATTCCACCATGTTGGTTTTATATAATCTGTTGTTTTATAATTTTATCTGTGTCTTTATCAGCACCTTGAGGATCCGTGAAGGCGGCAGGAGGTGCTTTACATAAAAAGAATGATGAAGATGAAGTGAGAATTTACTAGAACAGTAAAGCTTAGAGAGAGCTTAGAAGTAGTCCACCGTGTTTACATCCGCTTAGACACATTTGTGATGTTGTCTCATGACCACATTTAATTGTGTACTTTTATGACAAAATTATTTTAAGATTATTTTTGCTTTTGCTATACATTTTAGAAAAATAATAATTGACAACTAAATGGAATAACTTCTCAAACAAAAGGTTTATAGCGCTACTGTGGCATTAGTGAATCCACCTAAAGGTTCTTCTGATGAGGTTCATAATGATACAGTAACAGTTCGAAGCCAGTATGTCACTTCTAAAAGGTATTTTTCTTTTTTCCCAGCATGTTGGCCATTTCTGGTCTGTGCAGAGGACAGTAGGCTGACTATACTTGCTGAATAAGATCCAATCAGGGATTGTGCCATGCCCAAAGAGCAGCAGCCAGGTGTTGTTATGCTTCTTCCACCTTTGTGGATCATGAGGAACTCTCTCGAGTCCAATCTGCTGTGTTTCTCTACGTCTCAACATCTTGCCTGTAAAACTATTTGAATTTTGGGCTTAAGTTTTCTCCCTCTCTTCAGCCTCGGACGACTGCAAGGTCAGAGGCTGAGTATTTTGACTGATATGTGAAGCTTTGTTGATCTTCTGTAGCCCTCACCTTTTTAGTGTAAAGAAAGTATTTCCTTTCTCAGATTTTGTGAAATTTCTCTTCCATGTGGAGCCATTGCTGAAATGGGAAGGGCTTTTCTTTGTTAAGTAATGTCCTTTTATAGTGACCTGTCTGCTGGACACCTCTTAAACAAATCATTAGACTCACCTGTAGTTGAATCCCTGTTCATTTGAATTTTGTAGTCTTTAGTGTGGCTTTTCTCCTAAGACTTTAACTGGGGTGCTCATTTTTGCAACATGGGCTTGAATGGATCCATCCATCCATCCATTTTCTTCCACTCATCTGGAGTCGGGTCATGGGGGCAGTAGCCTAAAGCCTGATTTATGCTTCTCCGTCTGCGTCTGTGCGGAGACACGCAACACCATTATCCGTCCTTGCGTAGGGCACACAAGTACGTACGGAGTCGAGCCCACTTTTTTAAACATCCGTCGAACGAGACGGATTACGCAAGCTTGTGATTGGTCGGGACGCCGCTGTTGTTTACAGCGCCGCCATTGCAAAGAGAGCCGAGGATAACTAGCGGCAAACACGGAGAAGCTTGAAGAATACCTCACGAAAAAACTATAAAAGTATGAACGTTTTATCCTCCCGTGACTGGAGGAGTGAAAAGATGCACAGCAAGTGTTTTATTTGTGGACGGAAATGACAGGAAACGTGGGTTTAGAGGTGGGGAGTGCATGAAGAGGTGGGAGAATGAGAGACAAATATGTCCGTGTTAAAAGTCTCTTATATACACAAAAAACACAATATAAACAAACGATCTTGGACCGATACACGACAGATACCACAGAACAACGCTACGCCCTGTGTTTTCCTGCCGGGGAATTGCTTTGCAACACTCTCCAGGCGACGGAGAAGTATGAGAGCAAAACGCTTCCGTCAATCCGTGCGTGTCTGTCCCTTGCGGAGCTGATGGAGAAGCATAAACCAGGCTTGAGTCGAGAGGCCCAGACTTCCCTCTCCCCAGCCACTTGGGCCAGCTCCTCCGGGGGAATCCCAAGGCGTTCCCTGGCCAGGTGAGAGACATAGTCCTTCCAACGTGTCCTGGGTCTACCTTTAGGCCTCCTCCGGTTGGACGTGCCTGGAAAACCTCACCAGGGAGGCATCCAGGAGGCATCCTGACCAGATGCCGAAGCCACCTCAACTGGCTCCTCAGTGTGGAGAAGCAGCGGGTCTACTCCCAGCCCCTCCCGGATGACTGAACTTCTCACCCTATCTCTAAGGGAGAGCCCAGCCACTCTACGGAGAAAACTCATTTCAGCTGCTTGTATCCGTTATGTCGTTCTTTTGGTCACTATCCAAAGCTCATGACCATAGGTGAGGGTAGGAATGTAGATCGAGCGGTAAATTGAGAGCTTTGCCTTCTGACTCAGCTCTCTCTTCACCATGACATGCTTAAATGGGTTTGTTAACATGAATTCATGTGTAGTACTTTTTACTCCTTATGATTTATCCCTTGTTATTTTAATGCTTGTTTTTACATTGCTGTGTTGAGCGCTTTGGGCTGCCTTAGTTGGCAGCAGGAAGGCGCTCTATAAATGAATGAATGAATGAATGAATGAATATCACTTTATTGTGTGCAAATGAACAAATCTTGTTTGCAATCAATGGCCCACATTTGTGGGACCATTTTGTAGAATGGTATCTCATAGAAAATGTTGATTCTGAAATGAAACTAAAGGTTTTCTGACAAATGTAGTGGGGTGTATTTATGCTGAGAACTGTGTTATTGTGGTCAATAGAGTGTTTAAAAAATGGGAAAGAAACACTTTTTTTTTCAAAGCAGAAATGAGAACAAGACTTGAGCAATGCAAGATAAAATAAAGGAGGAACAGAATATTTTATTTTGTTATATGACAAAAAGAGAAGTATGTAGTTTTCGGTGTGTGTTCACATATAAGTGTGTGTGATTGCATCAAAAAGAGAAAACTGCTGCCCAGAGTACACAGGGAGGGGAGAAACATCGTTCCTCCTTTGTCCTTCCTACAGAACAGCTGTGTTTTACTGGGAGGGTGGAGGTTATTTGAAAAGAGGAAGGAAGAACAATCGTTTTCTCACATTACAGCGCATGCTCTCACACATATATATGGATTCTGATGGACAGCTATCAAGGCTTCTCTCCAAGTTTACTGCCTGAGCGGCTGTGAGTGTCAAGTGTCGTTGTCAATCTCGCCTTTTTCCGTGTGGCTGACGGTGACATCAGCACCCCACTCTTGTCAACGTGCCTGCATCTGTACTTGCAGAATGATGACTGAGCTCAGGATAGTGAGGAATCTCTCACTGGAGGGATTCTTTAACAGTCCCAACAGTAAGCCTTTTCTCAAGAGACGGTGCCTCAGCGATGTGAGTATTCTGCTTTTGCAGTAAGTCGGAGATCATTCTCACTGCAGCTATTGCTTCTTGTGTTTACATTATCTCCAAGACAGAAGTACGCTTAGCATTAAAGAGCTTCAGGTGATGCTTTTGACTCGATTGTGAACTAGGGGTGGGTAATATGTCAAAACAGCAAATGTCATCGGCAAAAGAAATGCCCTAAAATAAACGCAGCATGTCCAAAAGTATTCCTGGACATATTTTTATTTAGGCTGTGCAATTGTTAATCTACATTTCAGCATATACCAACATAACACTGGTTAAAGGCTGAGGATGCAATTAGATGATGCATTAATAGTCAATGTAACAGCCACCGAACATTCAAACAAGTTATGTTGTGTTATTTATAGTAGGGATGTAAAAAAATATTGATATGCCAAGATATCATGGTATTTTTTTCCTGCAATATTATATTGATATTCAAAAGCTGTGTATTGATTTTTTGGGAAGAATTTACATGCAAACATTTGTGTGTTTTCTTTACTCCCACCACTAGTCAGCTGCAGTGTGCAATGGGTTTTGTTTCCACCATTGAAATGTAAATCCCTCTATTATGGTTTGGATACCTCATGTTAAATATGTTACGTATCAGTTTGGGCTGTTTATGGAATTTTTCTACAATAAATTCAGTCTAAGATTGCTAACGTCTGGCTGAATTTATCACAATATATCAAATTGTCTCCCCTGTATTGTGATACGGCAAGGCAGCTTTATTTATGTAGCACATTTCATACATAGAGGCAATTCAATGTGCTTTCCATTAGCAACAATATCAAGAACATTAAAATCAATGTGACAGAAAATACAATTTAAAAGTGTGAAAGGAACAAAATTTGAGGGTGATCAAATAGAAAGATAACTTTAAGGTACATGAGCAAGCGACTTTGGTTGCTGTCACCTGTTGTGATCGGTTAAAGCAGCTCTCGGCAGTTCTAGGGTGGGCCCAAGTTCAAGTGGGCACAACACCGCAGCTGCTGTGACTCCCAGTGGTTTCTTTACTGTGGGAATCCAGTAACAATGGCTCTTTGATGGCAAAAGGTTGCCGACCCCTGGTCTAGCCTTCATGTTTTTTCCCGGCCCTACCTCAGCCTATATTCTGTCACCTATAACTGACAACACTTCACAAAAGTTACAACTAAACCTAAGCGACAAAACATGAAGAAATACGGGACCCGCCATATAAATTTTTTTCTTCTTTATTTATTTATTTTTTCTTTACATTACATGAATGAATACTTTATTATCATTGACCAGCATCCTGGTACTAAGAAATCTGCATTTCATCATGACCCATCCTAGATCAGGCTGGCTGTGGGCTTGCAGCCGTGCATTTGACCCATCCTTACATTATTAGCAAGGAGCAATGGACTGCAGTTTGTATCACGCCCCGGGGCCAGCGTTGGGATTCAGCATCTTGCCCAAGGATGCTTCAACACATGGCCCACTGGGACTGGGGATTGACCTTTGGATCATAGGACAACCGCGCCCCCATCCAGCCTTGGCCGCCATGTGCATTCTTTCATTAATACACTGAAGCGATCAGGCTTGGAGTGTGTCATGGCTAAATTGGACCTCAGAGTATACCCTACAGACCATTCAACGTTCAGATCACTCAGACATTATCAACACATTGTTTGCATTGTAGCACCATCATATCACTCACCCCTACCTAAAACCTGGAAATAAAAACGCAACTAAAATGTTCATAAGTGCGAAATGAACAAATGTCTTCTATAATCCAAGATTTCACTGCTTTCTAGTCTATTGTTGTTAAAGAGAATTTAAATATCTTGTCAGTGTTTATCGAAGTCTGGTTTATTTATTTATTTTTAATCAGAGGAGCATCATATGACTCCGCTTACTTTTGCACACACCCTACGCTGGGGCTAAACCGTTAGCTTTACTATGCCAGGGTCAGATGTGTGTGTTTGGTGGAGTAGTGTGAGTCAGTGTGTCATGTTTCCATACATGCACATGTGAAAAGGTTGCTTTCCAGTGGTAATGTGCGCATGTGTGTTGTAGAAGGCCTGCAACGCCGCTTTGTAAATTCAAGCTGTCATGTGGAAACATCAGCTTGGCACTGCAGTCCACTTGTGTTACATGGCGAACCGAGAATGCACCCCTGCAACAAACACCGCGTTGTCAGGGTTCCTGCCGCGGCTTGTCAATGTGGGTCGAAGCCGCTTCGGATCCTTAATGTGAAATCTGCAGATGAAAGGTGCATGCCTCAGGGTTTGTTCCTCGACAGAACCTCCACCGGTGCTTCTGCTAATTAGACAAAACACTGAGAAAAATACTCAAGCTCTGCAGCAGCAAATGGCAGAGGTGTAATTAAAATGATAAAGCTAAGTTTAAGTCTTGGCGTCCTCAGCAGACACGTTAATTACAACACACCAAGAGTACGTTAAAGTGAAACCTAGTTGTAAAAGTTTTTGATGCAATCTTAATTTCTTTGCACAGTGATGATGGTTGTAGCATGAAGGTTGTCCCAGTCAAACACAAATGTGCCTTTGCACTTTTGACTGCAAAAGCCAGAGTGTATTGCTGCTAATTTGGTGGCCGTTGCACTCAAGTCACAAGTGCTGTTGGCTTTAGCAACAGAGAGAAACACCATGGTGCTTGGAGGCTCATTTCTCCCCAAAGAGAAACTTGTTTACAGGGAGTTTGCCTTAAAGCGTAAAGCAACATTTTCCTGGTTGATCCTGAAATGTCCCATTGAGTGAAAACGATACGAGGAGTGCTAATTTAGTTATGAGAGACCATAAATGAATGTTTTGTGTCTTAACTGTGTAGATTTTACTATTTTTACTCTCATAGAGCTGCAATGAGCTCAAAAGGAAAGTGTTTTGATAAATCTATACCAATGACCAAATCCATGTACCATGTCAAATCTCTCCTTCAGACCTCGGACCTGTTTGCCATGATCGAGAGGATGCAGGTACTGTGGTTTCCTGGCTTGGCTTTCTGCTCTCGTCTCCTTACTTATCAGCTTTCCCTCTCACGAGCTCTAATCAAACAGCAAACTTAAAATTCCACTCTCTCTGGACACAAAATTTCCATTTATTTTTATTTTGAGACTCCAATTTCCCCCCTTTTTTTTTACATTCAGCCTTTCAACTCAGTCAGAAAAGCACTTGTATGCCTGTGCACATGCATCCATCCATTATTTTTGTATCTGCAGATCCAGGCTGTCCCCAGAACCCGTGTGTTTCTGAATGTGCTGAACAGATCCTTTGTGTTTTCTCTTCACAGCTGGTTGCTTTTGTCTGTGTCATCAGATGTGTGAAAAGAAAGGGTTTTCATTTTGCTGAGGTGGATTCTTTGGTTTTCTTCTCGTTGGTGTTGCAGAACCAGACATGAAGGACATAGTGGATTCTGAGAACGTCAATCAAAAGGAGCTTTGATTTTGTCTGAATTTTTATGCATTTGAACCATTTTCTTTTTAACTATATGCAAATATAGACGCCTTTATTTTTTTTATTTAATTAGCAAATACATAGTCTACAAGCAAAAGATTTTACCTGTTGAAATTTGAATTTGTTTATTGGTCCGGGGGCTGAATTTGAATGGATTATATATATATATATATATATATATATATATATATATATATATATATATATATATATATATATATATATAGATAGATAGATAGATAGATAGATAGATAGATAGATAGATAGATAGATAGATAGATAGATAGATAGATATACTGTATATTTAACCTTTTCAGTCACTTATTTTTTACATACTTTCTTATAGAAGCTTTTGGTATTTAGTCAACAGGATCAGCAACTCCAGTGATTCATGTCTTCCAGTAAAGAATCACTAGTGGGAAGGACTGATGGAGGCACTGGGACAGATTTTTGTAGGATGCATTTTATGGAAACGCTTTCTATTTCCATCTGATTTATCTAATTCCAACACCCCCCCCCCCCCCAGAAAACAGCTTACGATCAGAAATGGTTATCTTCCTCCTTGTGTTGACTGTCAGTACTTTCCCATCAACAGAATATAAATAGATTGAATCGCTGTAAAGTTCAACTCAGTTTGGACCTTGAGAAGAGTTATGGGCACTATCTGCGTTACACATTTTCAGAAGTACCCTCCCTGCTGTCATGGATCTCTGCTTATCTTTTTACCCCAGTTTCTAATTTTCACTTCCTCCCTCAGTAGCCCATCTGATGAATGAGCTTGCATATGTAAACATGAACTGCTGCGGCGATGATTTGTCATGAAGTATGCTGCAACAAAATGCATTTCATGGATCTTGTCTATCAGCCATGCGCTGAGCTGTCTTTGTACAACTGTGAAACAGTCTGCAGAGATATTTCCCCATCCCACAGTGTCATTTTCTTCCTCCCTCCAGGGGTGCAGAATGGACGAGCAAAGATGCCCCCTCCCTCCTCCCCTCAAAGTGAGTCACAAATTCACCAGTCTCCTCATGGAGTGCAGATGGGTAAAGCAAGTGGAATGGCAGCATTATACACCTTTTCTTATCAGCTGTCAGACAGGCTTTAGGATGTTCAATGGAAACAGAGAGCTGCACCATTCTTGCATCTGCTGTTACCTTGACAATGTAGTGGTGTTCACTGGTGAGAATGGTGCTAAACAGGAGAGCTGGGGTTGAGTCAGGAAATGTGAATCTAAAGGAACATTCAGAGGCTGAAGTGGGATTTAAGAGTTGGATGTTAAGACCTGTTTTCAGCTAAGTGTTAAAAAAATCCCCACACTGTTAAATTAAAATATGAAATAATGAATGAAAAAATACCATATAACATAATTTGGTTCTGACCCAGGCTTTTACCAGATGACTGTTTCCTGCGGATCTTGTGTGTGTATTGTGCGTATATTGGAAGGAGATTCGACGTGTATTTTGGCCCTGTGCCACTGAGTGCTTTATAAACTAGCAGTAGCACTTTGAAATAGACTCTGTAGTTTACTGGTAACCAGTTTAGAGATGAAAAAACAGGAGTGATGTGCTTGTGTCATCTGAAGACTCTAGCAGCAGCATTTTGAAGAAGCTGCAGGTGTTTTAAAGAGACAATGTGTAGTTTTTACCATTAATTTCTGGAAATATCCATCAAAATGTTATTGAAAATGAAATGATTGTTGAAAAATATTGGTAGCTTCGTAAAATACAACCACAAAAATCAGGTCTAAAATGCATGGGAGCGGGTCTAAGTCTCTGGGCGACGCCATATTGAATGCCAAATTTCCTTTTATGGGATCCCATGAGGACAAGATGCATTTACTGATTTGTAACAAATGGTTACAAAACTGTTGTCTTTCTTAAACGTTGTTGTGTTACACATTTACCTCTTCACTTATTGCCAGTGATAAAAGGGAGTCTCATGTGCTTGTTATTTTGCTAAAGTTTGCACTCCCCAGGGCTTTTTGACCCTAATGGGCATCCGTTGGGGAGGTCTTACTCCCATAGATATGTATATATAAACACTAGATGTCTCGTCCCCGCTGTTCGCCAATGGGATGCGACGTAGGAACGTGGCGGCCATCTTACCTCAGACAGCTGCCCCCTTTCTTGACATTGGGGTGTATGGTGCATGTACTATTTAAATAACTCTAACTTGCTCAATTTTCAACCGATTTTCAAAAGGTTTGATTTGTTATAAACGCCAGAGAGGTGTCTATGAAATAGGATGGGTTTGGCCCAAAAATTCCTGTTATTTCTCCCCACAAAGCATTTAATCTTTCATAGATAACACATTTATTGTAAGCTACTTAAAGTATACATAGCCTATTATTATATTATTTAGATCTATCTATATATATAAATATTCCTTGTTTGTGAAATAAGATTTGTTTAGAGATGAGATTTCAAGGTTTTTTTGAGTGAAAACCCACATTAACAGAACACAGATACAAAATGTGCACCCCACCAAATAAGACAACTGACACCCAAATCACATCTGTCAGCCAGAACCGGCCCGCCAGCAATAAAATTTCACCCAGCAAATTATTTTGTATTTTCACTATTTCTTAACTTCTGTTTTCTTATTTATTGACTTTCATTTATTAATTATAAGCTCTTTGGAAATTATTTCTGAAAAAGTTAGTAAATAATCCAAAGATAGATTAGGTTAATAAATAAAATGGATTACAGTAATAAATAAGATAGATGGATAATGGATTGATTTTGTGAAGAAAGTTTTTAACATTCATAAAACCATATAAACAATGTACAGAAGGAGGTAGCAGCAGCAATGGAACAGCAGTTTCAAATTATTTTATTTACATAAAAACAATTAACAGACTGAATAATGTACAAGTTTTCTTTGCAGCAGTTACAGATGAAAGGTGATCCCACGTTGTCTCAGTTTGTCACAGCGGCGATTCGAGCATCCATAGGCTGCACGAAAGTCAGACATGTTGACCCTCAAGCTTCACAATTAATAAAGGTGTATTTCTGCAAACATAAATTCAGAAATGTCCTGTTTTAGTAAATCCCAATATAAGTTTTGTGTAACAAACCAAGATGCTTAAAAATCACGGGCAATTTAGCATAAATTTATTTAAAATAAAATGAGCGACTCCCACTGAGGTAAATAGTCAACTTTGTATGGCTAAGCAGTGCACCCACCATAGCCTCGTCATCTCTAAGCCAAATTAGACAGCTAATAAATACAAAACATACACAAACAGCCATTTACACAACAATTGGACTGTCGTAAAGTCGTTATTGGTTTTGTAGAACAACATAAAATATCGATTGTGGTCTCAACCTGAATAACATGCAGATAGCCTATGCGGGACACATGGTTCACAATTAAGCCACTTTCAAGAGCAAAAGTGTTACTTTCAGCGTGCAATTATGTTGTCTCAAGCCCATGCATTGTGTTCATTATGTGTGTAAAATATTTCCATAAAAAATAGAAAGTAGGTTAGATTTTAAATAGTATTTCCCTGAATGTAACTTGTTAGTATTTCCCTGAATGTAACTTATTAGTCACCTTGTTGAGTGTTATTTAATTCTTTTATCTACAACACATAACTTTTGACTGGTTTCCTGCTACAGATTACTGTTTTTTTTTTACAAAGTGTACAATTTATCAAATGTGATTTAATTGTTCCCAAAATTGACATAACTGACAGATTACATTTTTTTTAATATCTAACTTTCTTAAACTGTTTTTTTTAGAAAAAATTAAATAACAGCTTCATTTTGAATATTGACATCTCCCATCATGCTGAGTAGAAACCGTCATCTCTCACTCAGACAAACTCATACTGGTTTCTGTTCCTGCAGACAGAAGAAGACTACATTCCTTATCCAAGTGTTCATGAGGTGAGTCCACATAAAGAATAACACACACAAATCCATGCTATTTAAACATATGTCACAACCTGTTCTAGTAAAGAGTAAACTCATGTGTCCATCCCCGGTCAGGTTTTGGGCCGCAGGAGTCCATTTCCACTCATCCTGCTTCCCCAGTTTGGAGGATACTGGATCGAAGGAACCAATCATGAACCTAAAGACCCCCCAGATGCTGAGCTACCTTCCTGTCTGGCCTCACACATCAAACTGGAGACCAACAGCATGGCTAAGATCTACAGGAAGAACTTCATGGGCAAGGTGAGTGTAGTGAATTATTTACGTATTTATGTCCATCCATCCAGTTTCTTCTGCTTATCTGGAGTCGGGTCGTGGGGGCTGCAGCCTAAACAGAGAGGCCCAGACCTCCCTCTCCCCTGCCACTTGGACCAGCTCCTCTGGGGGAATCCCAAGGCTCCCAGGCCAACAGAGAAACACAATCCCTCCAGCGTGTCCTGGGTCCTCTGTTGGGTCTCCTCCCGGTTAGATGTGCCCAGAAAACCCCACCAGGGAGGCATCCTAACCAGATGCCCGAGCCACCTCAACTTGCTCCTCTCTATGTCAGGGAGCAGCGGGTTTACTCTGAGCCCCTCCTGGATGACCAAGCTTCTCACCCTATCTCTAAGGGAGAGGCCAGACACCCTGCGGAAAAAACAAATGTCAGCTGCTTGAATCTGTGATCACATTCTTTTAGTCACTAAGTTTGTGACCATAGGTGAGGGTTGGAGCGTAGATACACCGGTAAATCTAAAGCTTTGTCTTCCGGCTCAGCTCTCTCTTCACAGAGGACCCTGAGATACTTAAACTCCTCCACTTGAGGCAGGACCTTTCCTTTTCTGACTCAAAACCATGGACTCGGATGTGATTGCGTTCAAAAATGAATAAACTAAAGATGCAAGTGTAATAAGGAAGGGACGAGTGTTTATTTGTAACAATGATTTACTAACAGTGACACACTTTGGCATTGGTTAATAGGAGAAAAGCAGAGGAGTTTGTCAGCATTTAAACATTCGTGTTGCGTTTCCTGATGGCGATCGCAACTCTTATCTCCATCGGCAGTTCATTACTGAGTTTGTATTCTTGTGTCACATGCTGTCAGTGGTTACATCATCCTTCCATTAACATTTGCTCGGCTTATCTGGCTCCAGGAACACTTTAATTACTACACTATGGATGCTGCTCTGGGCCACTTGGTCTTCTCAATGAAATACGAAGTCATCGGGGATCAAGAGCATCTCCGCCTGATGCTACGGTATGATTTCTAATTGTTCTCTTTAATCTTGGACTTTCTTCTTTGTCTTTTCCCAGTTTGACTCTGAAACACTCTCTGCAAAAAAAACTTTGTCTTCATTAAAAGTCTCCTATTTTTGTCCTTCTTTTCCTCTTAGTACACACAATTGCAGCAGCTGGATGTAAAGCACTGATTTATACCAATAGATCTTTTACATTTTATATTTATGTTTATGTATTTAGCAGACGCTTTTGTCCAAAGCGACTTACAAGTTACAATCGGCATGTTGTCCTTGAGGCTAACAACAACAATAACAACAACAACAACATCAACAACAAACAATTTCCAGTCAGTGGTAGGTGGCAGTGAGGCAGCATGATGAATCATGGAGAGGAGGGAACAAGGAGTGGATAGTAGAGAGGGGGACGGGTGCAGGGAGGGTGCTAGTTGATGAGATGCTCTCTGAAGAGCAGGGTCTTCGGGAGTTTCTTGAAAGTCGAAAAGGAAGCCCCTGTTCTGGTAGTGCTTGGTAGGTCATTCCACATTTGTGGAACGATGCATGAGAAGAGCCCGGATTGTTCTGAGCGTGGTGTAGGCACTGCTAGCCGACGATCCTGTGATGACCGGAGCGGCCGGGCCGAGACGTAAGTCTTTGCAAGAGGATTCAGGTAGATGGGAGCCATACCATCTCAGACTTTGTATGCTAATGTTAGCAATTTGAATTTGATGCGTGCAGCTAGCGGTAGCCAGTGGAGCTCAATGAACAGAGGGGTGACATGTGCTCTTTTTGGCTGATTGAAGACCAGACACGCCGCTGCATTCCAGACCATTTGAAGAGGTCTCACAGTACAGCCTGGAATCAAATCAAATCAATCAAAGATACTTTATTAATCCCAGAGGGAAATTAGAGTTTCAGTACACACAATTCAGAGATCAGACATGCATGGGCAAGACACGTGACAAGAATTGGTGACTGTGGTCATTCGCAACCCCGAGTCGCGCTACCTTAATAGAGAAATAATAGGGTAACATTAGGAATGATAAGATAACACACAACACAACACAACACAACATCACATGATAATAGGAAGGTGGGGGGGGGGGGGGGGGGGGTTGGGGGCTGGGATCCTGTTTCCCCAACGAGAGCAGCCGTGTACGGCGCTCAGCCACTGTAGCCACAGGTGGGAGGGAGATCTTGGGAGGAGCGCAGAGCACATTGACTCCTGCAGGTTGATGACCTCGCCAGGCTGCAGTCCACTAATCCGAAAGGGGGTGGGGGGGGTGGGGGTGGGGGGGGTAGGTCAGGTTTTCACAGCATCTGTCTGCATTCCTTCGTGGGGATTTGTTGTTGGCATCTCAAGGCTGCCATGGCATCAGATTCGGATAACAAGACTTTGTTTGGGTCAGGCTGACATAATTTTCCTCTCTGCCTTCAGTCTTTAACTGATCATTCAAGTCCTCCAGTGAAGCCAATTTAGGTTTTTAAACATGTCCACACTGCCCGGTGACCCTCTCCGAGATGATATCCATTTTGCGCACTAATACCGGTATCCAGCTTGCGATTCACCTCGAGTAACGTCCCAGTCTGTGAGGTCTCCACACGGACGGTGCTTTCCGTGGGTGCGGGGCACCCTCCAATTGCTCCCATCTTCCCAAATTTCCAGAAAACCAGATATCCTCCCACTCCAATCAGAAGAAATCCAGTGATCATCAGGCCAAACATCCACACGTCTTCGAAATCCTCAATGGACTACTGGGAGAGGCATACGATCTTCCACTCTTTCCAGGAATCCATCATATACCCCACCGGGTGTGTCCCTTGCGGGCAAGTGGGAGCCCCCTGCTCCATTCTCATCGTTGAAAAAAATCTTATCAATCGCGTTGAATGACCAATTTATCAAATCCATTATTAAAAAATAGGGTTTTTCAGAAGAAATGCAGAGAAGCACTCTGTGGGCAGACAGGACAAAGAGCCTTGGGGGAAAAGATGAGGGAGCAAAAAGAGAAGTGTCTGTTCTCTGCGAGTGCCAGCAATGTACTGACCAGTTAGAAGGGCATTGCAGAAATCGAGGCGGGAGATGACAATAGATTGCACCAGGAGCTGGGTGGCATGTTGTGTTAGGTATGGTCTGATCTTTTGTATGTTATACAGTGCAAAGTGGCATGAACGAGCAACAGAGGCAACATGATCTTTAAAGGTCAGGTGTTCATCAAACACAACACCCAGATTTCGAACTACCTTTGAAGGAGCCAGAGATAGGAAGTTATTATGGATTGAGATATTGTGCTTTTTATCTAATTTCTTTAAAACCGATCAAATACGTTGAATTTTTCTGCTTGATTCTTATTAATTATGGAAGTGTATTACCGTCGACGGGGATACAGAGCTGAATCTTGCAATAACGAGAAGGTTTCTTGTGATAAGGTGATAAAGTCATTTTAACAAGAAATATCCTCATAATAACATAGTAAAGTCACTAAAATAACATGTTAGATATCTTGTAACAATTCTAATAAAAATTGAGACATCTCGCGGGATGTTTGAATCTCGTCTAGAGGGCGATATACCTAAAAAGTTTGCCACTATATGACATCAGATATGTTTCCTTTGTGTAGGGAATCTGTGGGTGTTTTTGGTGTTAAAACCTGTCAGCTGTCCATTTGTCTCCTTGGCAACGGGGTGAGCATGTTGAAGCCGACAGAGAAGATAGCTAGCAAGTGTAATTTGCTGATTAATGCACCCTCGTTTGGATGTCCCCCCCCCCCCCCCCCCCCCCAGTTGTGGCACTGCTGCTGCTGCTGCTATACTTCCTAAAGTTAAAGGTGCAATTTGTAGGAATTCTACTACGAAATAATCACAAAAGAGTCATATATCTCAATCATGTTGGAGGGAAGGTTGTCCGCCTTGTTCCTGGGCCAGTTTATGTAGAAACGATTACACGAACGACATCTGGTGAGATACCAGATGTAGCACTTAGCCATTGGCCTATATGACAAGGTATCAGCAGTGAGAAAGTAAATTATTGCTCAAAATTGGAGTGCAGTAACCACATTTGACTACATAATGTCATTCTTACAAATGCAATAACTGCCTGTTTGGATGCCACAACATGAAATCACGCTTAACTATCATTACTAGTTGTGGTTGGAGGGACCAGTGGCACCAATATTCTGCAGTCTGGCTGGCATCATTCCCCCCCAGGGCAGCCGTGGCTACAATGTAGCTCATCATCACCAGGATATGAATGTGTGTGTGTTAAAGGGTGAATGAGCCTTGGGGGTTGTAGAACCATAAGAAGGTGCTATACGAACACCAGCCAATTACCATTGCATTGTTAAGTGAACCTTTCACGTAAAAGATATGGAGATTACGAGAATGTTTCTTGGGGGCGACGGTGGCACAGGAGTTGAGTGCTCGCCCTGTAATCGGAAGATTGCAGGTTCGAGCCCCGCTCAGTCTGTCGCTGTCGTTGTGTCCTTAGGCAAGACACTTAACCCACGTTGCCTGCTGGTGGTGGTCAGAGGGACTGGTGGCGCCAGTGCTCGGCAGCCACACCTCTGTCAGTGCGCCCCAGGGCAGCTGTGGCTACACTGTAGCTCATCCCCACCAGTGTGTGATGTGTGCGTGAATGGGTGAATGACTGATTGTGTTGTAAAGCGCCTTGGGGGGTTTCAAGAACTCTAGAAGGCGCTATATCAAATACAGGCCATTAAAATAACTGTTGCGTCATGTAATGATGAGAGATTTTTCCTCCCACTGATGGCAATACACTTCAGTAATAATACCTGGTGTTAATTAACTGGCTCATGCTGTTACTCATTATTGGTCATCAGGCAAATTTGGGTACATTTTGAATTCAGATTTATTCTGTATTTTCACACAGTTTTCAGTAAAAGTCCGTGACACAGACGACCAACATCCCACCAACAACAGTGTTTATTGAAATTATATAAACAGTTTTATTTCCGATTTCTTTGTTAAATATTGGAAAACAAAAACGTGCCAACAGAGATATGCAGCTCCTAAAAATTAAAACATGTTTAAAACTTTAAAAACCAACTAAAACTCATCCATTTCCACAGAGAGCAGCAATGATGTTGAGGTCAAAAAGCTCCCACTACTCAGCACTGATCACACAGGTGGAACAAAACCTCCCACCCTCAGTCACTCAATGCTGTGTTTTCTCACTACAGTTCTGCACTCCATCACATTCAGCTAAAAAGAGTTAAGTAGGAGGGAGGCGTGCTGTGTAACCCCTAAATTAAATTTAGCACCCCCGAGACTCCTCTAAGGGTTTTAATAGCTGCTCCTTTGTTGTTTCATAGATCTTCAGGGTTGGTGAGTGCTCCGTGCGTTAAGAGCAACAACATTTTTAGATGTGATGTGTTCTATTGGACCCACACTACCCACAGTCATGTAGTCCTATTTAAAGCTCTCAGCTTATCTGCAGAATGCCTTTATTTACCTTACTGTAAAGGAGGTTGGGTGTTTTGATACAAATCAGGATGAGAACGTGTGAAGGAAACTTTCTTTCATCACATGCAGGTTTCATTTCATGATGGCACATATTTTTTTCCTTATGCTTTCAGTTTTAGAAAGAAAACAAAAAAAATATCAGCCTGTTGGAATTGGTAAATCCTGCCAGCTTACTTAATTATTCTTGCCTTGATTGTTCCATGGCGAGAACTGCTGAGACCGAAGCCATGTACAGGTATGCTTGTGCTAATTAGCTCTTGAGGTTCTGGAATGTTGATTTTGTTGTGTTTAAGAAGAGAAACCTTCTTTGTAACAACTTACCCAGCTGCCTGCAGCATTCTGCGTTTGTCTTCCTTCATTAAACTCCTCACACACTCCCAAAAGAGTTCTCGTTCCAGCTTCTTCCATCAAACTGCATCAGGTGTAGAGACTCTGAGCCAGTCGTTCTCTTGGATGGCTGATGAATACTACACCAAGAATTATCTCAATATTTTTGTCTTTCAGCACAAAGCAAAAGACCTACCATGATGTAATTCCTATTTCCTGCCTCACTGAGTTTCCAAATGTGGTTCAGATGGCAAAGGTATGTTCTAACAACCATGTGAAAATATGTGGAAATTGTTTGTCTATACCATTAATTGTATGTATAAGATGGACGGTGCCTCCTCGCCATCACCTGTAGGTTTCTGAAAAGCTGAATAGAAGCCCAGTGGGCGGATCCGAACCCCGCCATCGTCATGCATCTCATCACTCCAGGAAAATACAAAAATAGAGCTGAGAAGGGAGCAGAGAGGGTGGGGGCAGATGATGATTGACACCCATCAAGCTTTGAGCCGATGTAGTTACAAGCTAACTGAGCTAACCTGGAGCTAACGGAGGTTGGCGAGCACTTTTATCCAGAAAACCACGGTTGAGCGGCCCTGCTACTTTCTGCCTTCTTGGCTGTAACATTGTGAAGTCGAGGCTGAGGCCTTCCCTGGAGCAAGCAGGTGGCTATCTGCTAGGTAGCACAGACAGCTCATCTGCTATCTGTCAATCAAAGCTTTAATCACATCTGGATGAGATGCAAAAAGATTCACGCCCTCAGAGTTGTCACAAACCTGACCTATTAAAAAAAAGTTTTTTGTACCAGGCTGTAAACATGTTTGTTTCTGCTGTGAAGTTGGCTTCACTTTCGGCAGATGGAGTTAAGCCCTTCGTCTCTATGCTTTCAAAATAATAGAATCTAAATGGCTTTGGGTTTTGCTTTGCAGCTTGTTTGTGAAGAAGTAAATGTGGACAGATTTTACCCTGTCCTCTACCCAAAGGTAGGCACTTGTTTCCCTTTAAGACCCTTCCATCAGAACCAAAACATCTCTGTCTTGTCTGACCATATTTATTTATTTCTCCTCCTCAGGCATCAAGGCTTATCGTCACATTTGATGAACATGTAATCAGCAACAACTTCAAGTTTGGAGTGATTTATCAAAAGTTCGGCCAGGTGAACGCACCTGAGAAATGCTCCAGCTGATCTTGACTCTTGAATCCATGTTGACCTCCTGCTTCCTGTTTGCAGACATCAGAGGAGGAAGTGTTTGGGAACATGGAAGAAAGTCCTGCCTTCGTTGAGTTCCTGGAGTTTCTGGGCAAAAAGATTGAGCTTCATGATTTTAAAGGGTTTGATCTTTTTTTTACATAAGTGTTGCTGTTGTAAGAAAATGATACGGCCTCAGACATCTCTGGCTGGGGATTTTGGCAGATCAAGAGCTCTGAGAGCATGCACTTTAATTCACCTAACAGCATTCCTTCTTCTCTTTTTTGTCTCCACTTTGATTTTCAAATCTTTCTTATTCTGTTCCTCTTCTGTCATTTCAATTTTGCTGCTACTGAATCTCCTGCCTGGGCTTCTCTTTTGTTTTTCCAGTTTTCGGGGTGGACTCGATGTCACTCACGGTCAGACGGGGACAGAGTCCGTCTACACACATTTCCATAATAAGGAGATTATGTTCCACGTGTCCACCAAGCTGCCTTACACAGAAGGAGACTCTCAGCAGGTATGACAACAATCCAGCAATTATTTCATTCTGTTGGTTAATTCGCATTTACACTCAATAATTAATTACACTTGTTATTTTTAAGTAAGAAATGGACCCACAGTGATCTTCTCATCGTCTCAGATCAACTTGATTTAATAAAGGCTGCATTGATTCGTTATAAACAGCCCTTCTGGTTATTCTAATGGTAGAGTCAGATTTTTAAACAACAAATAAACTAGTGAAAAACATTTGAAAAACTATTAAAAATATTTTTAAAAGGAGAAAAGAAAAAAATGTAAGGAAAGGGAGAGAGAAAATGAACAGGAAAGAGGGAAATCAATGTATCCCAGGAAAGGTGGAATAAGAAAGGAATAAGGAGAGGGTGGTGACAAGGGTCACACCAAAGCCATCTTGAACAGATGAGTTTTCAGTTGCTTTAAAGGAGACCACTGAGTCCACTGATCTCAGGTTCAGGGGGAGAGAGTTCCAGAGTCTGGGGGCCACAGCAGCAGATGATCTGTCACCTTTGGTCTTTAGCCTGGTGCTGCACAACCAGTAGGCTTTGGTTTCTGGACCTCAGGGACCTGCTGGGGGTGTAGGGACTGAGAAGATCACCAATGTATGATGGTGCTTGTCCATGTAAGGCCCTATAGACCAGAACCAGGATCTTGAAATGAACCCTGAAGTTGACCGGCTAACACCATAACAGTACTGTACTAACCAAATAAGCTGTGTTGCAGCATTGTTGTCCATTCCTTCAGCCACTGTGCACATCGTCCATTTCACTTCACTGCGTTAAGCTAACTGGCAGAATACCAACACAAAAGGATGCATGTCGCCACCTACTGTACTGATGTGGAAATAACTTAATTTGAGATGTTGGCTTTCTAACCTACATGTAAACTAGGATAAAGTCTCCCAGTTTATTGTTTTAGATGGCCCTCTAGACTTGGATGTAAATGTAAATGCACTGGCTGTCACTTAACATTCATGGGCTCGCACATCTTGACTCATGACAGGGAAGGCTGTTGTCGGTTTTAGCGTCCAGGAAACAGCAGACAACCTCTCGGCTAGTAGAAGCTAACTGTTAGCATTAGCAACTCCACCACATGGCAGAGCGCCTTCAGGCTTGATTTATTCGTGGAAATAAAACATCATTGTTGCAGAGTAAGTCATGTTGCTGTTAGCCAATCAGAGGTAAGATGTCCAGATATCAGGACATAAGACTCTAAATCCTGCCATCTGAAGCTACTTTCTGCTCCAGCTAAACTCTCCATCCTCAAACAGGAGCATCTGAGTGTTTTTCCTCCCAGAAAATGACTTACAAGTAAAACATTGCAAATGTATTATAAATATGATTAAAGATGAGCTTAAAGATGGCTGATTGTTCCACAGTGTCTCCATAAATGTCCCCATCATGTCGTGACACTTTCACCAGAAGCTCAGAAAGGAGGTCCAAAGCTTGTAGTGAATTTTGGTGGTCCAGGTAGAAGAAATTAATATGAACATTAAAATTAAAAAAACAGTGGTTATTAAAGTTCTATTTCTTGGTCACTTTCCTCCAGATTCACAAGAAAAACAAGACCATCTGAGTAAAACATCCCTGCAGTTTTATGTTTCTGTATTAAAATCTATGTTTAATTGGTCTGCAGCAGAAGGCGCTCATCTGTTTGATGTTGTTTTGTAATGAGATGCATTAGTTGCTCCTCAGTGCCTTGAGTGGTTTGAACTTTGTTACGAAAGTAACCTTGCAGAGATGGTTCATGATGCCAAGACACGGAGACAAACAGAGGACATAAACACCGCCCACATGTGATGATTCATTGGGGAGCGGGCTAAAGGCATCAGGGTGAACACTTAACAGCGCAGCCTTTCCTCGGGAGGGAGAACGAGCTGAATTTATTCCTGCAGAACTCACACAAACAGCAGATGTCACGAGTCCTGAGCGAACACTTTGTGTCTAGCTGTCGACTGCGATGATCTGAGCTGGTCGAGAAAATTGACTGAATGTTTTATGGCTGTCTGAGTTCAAAAAGTCTGACTATTAAAGCTGTCACACGAAAAAGCTCCGGCGCTGTCAAAGCCCGCCTAACTCTCAGCCTTCAACAACATCCAAGAAATCCACATCCAGTAGACCCATGAACATTTTCTCCATTATCCTGGTTTATGTCTGTTTCTGAGTCATTTGTTCTTCTGCTGCAATCAGATAACAAGTTAGCAACAGATACATATCAGCACAGCTGTGAGGAATACATTTAGTGTGACCACAATCTTCTTTCCTGTCACCTCAGACAAACATTTTTCATTCATGTTCACATCGACTCCTCATTCCTGCCTTATTAATGACCGCTGTGGTCTCTAAGTCTGGAAACCTGCCAGCTTCAGAGCCAGATGGTGGATTGTTCTCATGCTCATGAACCGGCTGGTTGTGACACAAAGACGCCATAAAGTAACTGAACTGTAGTGGAAAAGTAAACGCTGTAATCTGCTGATCCTAGGGTAAATATTTGCTCTGTTGCTGAGTGTATGAGGCATTTAAGTGAGGAGGGTTTAATAAATGTTGTTTTGTCCCTGAAAAGTTCATTTTTACTAAAATTGTATTTACTGAAAACCATCTTTACTTAATCTTTCATTCATCTGTAATATCTGATAAATCTCCCTTATCAGATCGATGTCCATCGCACTGACAGAACTTCATTTTTGTCGCCTGAAGTGACTTTCTGATATCCACCCACTTTTTAGATTATTTTTCTGCCTAATCTAAAAAAAATCTAATCTGGGACAGTTCCACTTCCCAAAGTTTCATACAACCACCAGTGCTGTCCACTTTAGGAGGAAACAGGTTAAATCATTCCCTCAGATATTAATGGAAGCTGGTGAATACTCTGGATTAGTTTCCTGCAGAAAGGAAATGGGGTGAAAGAGGAAGGTGTCCTCAATCTTTAGCAACAGCAAGCTTTCTAAAAGAAATTACTTGGACAAAATATGTAATTCTTGAGCATGCTCACTCTGTCCTCTGACCGCAGCAGTGTCCTTTTGCCAACTCTGGCAACAATTGGGTTTTACAGCAATGATGTCTGACTAGCCAATTTAGTGTCTGGTTTTTTCATTACGACGTTCTGTTTGTGGGCATTCGATATTCTGAAAGTGTATTTGCATAAAGTACTCCAGCATTTTTTTTTTCATTTTAAGTAAATATTTGTCCGTTAAAGCTCTCTTTCACTCATCCTTCCAGTAAATCTGCAGTGGTTTGTATTCTGAATCAAAGCTCTGGGGCTTTTGATTCAGGGGGTAGAAGAGTGTGTGGGGGTAGAAAACTATGGGACTTACTTCTGATATCGAGGTATTACAGAATAACGAAGACAACTTCAACATCACAGTTTGCTCTTATCTTGGATCTGGTTGGCAGGTTGGTTCACTATAAACACCGCTGGTGGTCAGAAACCTCTCTATCAACTGTTACTTCATAATTGTTCTCATGAATATTCAGGATATACAAATTCATCGCCTCTGATTGGCCAACAGAAATGCGACTCTTGAACTGCCTTCATTCGCTCTTCTTTCTTGAGTAAAAGATGTCATGTTGATGTTTTTTCTCCACAATTAACGCAAGCCTGAAGGATTGCCGCCATGTTCTGGAGTTGCTAATGCTAACGGTTAGCTTCTACTAGTTGAGAAGAGTCTGCTCTCTCCTGTAAAAATCACCGCACAATCAATCCAGTCACGAACTATGGTTGGCGGAGCCGTGGATGCAAATTTTACAGTGTGATGTAGAAAAAAATGGCTTTTTCTTACTCGAGTGTTTCCTCATCTTTTATCTGTTGGTGCCTAATGTAGGAAGTAGGGGTATTTGATAGTTTATTATGCTTAATAAGTCATGTTGATAAAGGGACCCTTGTTGTAAAGGGTGTTGTCTTAAATTTTGACATACAGCATGTGTGTGTGAAACTCAGAGTGACTTCAAAAAGAACAAGTATTAGAGTTTCTGATTGAATGAGGTTTTAAATTGAATATTTGCGTAAAGTACGCAACAATTTTCCTTATTTTATTTTTTCTGTAATATTTTTCTTTTTATGATGCTGACTTGAATACTTCTGTCATCCTCGGCTCCTCCTGCAGCTGCAGAGGAAGAGACACATAGGCAACGACATTGTAGCTATCGTGTTCCAGGAGGAAAACACCCCTTTTGTACCGGACATGATCCAGTCCAACTTCTTGCATGCATATGTGGTGGTGCAGGTGGAGAACGCGTGCACAGACAACGTGACCTACAAGGTTGGTCTGGCACCGACTTCAGATTTCCTCTCGGGGAGCTTGGATGGTTTATTGAGTCTCTGTCTGTTTTTTCATTCAGGTCTCTGTGACGGCGAGAGATGACGTACCTTTCTTTGGGCCAACTCTTCCTGACCCTGCAATCTTCAAAAAGGTCAGCAGCCACATGAATCTCGGCCTTCTGTTTACAAACCTTCTCTCAGTCGGCCCCTTACCTGACTTGTTCGTCTTCCTCAGGGACCTGATTTCCACGAGTTCCTCTTCACCAAGCTCATAAATGCAGAATATGCCTGCTACAAGGCGGAGAAGTTTGCCAAGCTAGAGGTGAGAAGCACACTCGGTGATGCAAAGCTGCATGTGACCACAAGGGCGTATCGCCACACCCTCCAACAAGAGCATCAGAAAGGACAAGAGGCCCCCCGATCTGATTTCTACCTGCCCCATCTGTAGCTACATGTGTGACTAGAAGGATGTATTTGACTCGTGCTTCTCCAGGAATTATTCCATGTCTTTGTTGCCAGGAGCGCACGCGCTCAGCCCTGCTGGAGACGCTGTACGAAGAGCTGCACATCAACAGCCAGTCCATGATGGGTTTGGGTGGAGACGAAGACAAGTTGGAGAACGGAGGTGGAGGAGGAGGCGGCGGCTTCTTCGAGTCCTTTAAGGTACGGCATCGTTCTTCAATTAGCGCTGGTAGTCTGCAACTCCACATGCATGAGCGGGAATGAGGAGTGGGAGAAACTTTTATTTTTGTGTCCTCCCCTGTCTCTTGGCCGGGATTCTGGGTATTCACACATGAGAAAACAAAGCATAGGAAATGTGCAGGATCTCAAAGGACCAGTGCTGTGGCTTTTTGCTGTCCTCGCTCGGCTGCCACTGCTGAACTGCGTGTTCTTCTCATGCGCTGGTGTGTTTTTTAGGCAGCAGAGTGTCCTGTTGTCTTTAAAAAGCACTCTGCTTCATCAGCGAGCAAGCTGAGGAGTAGAAGCTTGGCCACCGAGGCATAAACAGTAGAAACAGTGACGGTTTGTGTCAGACGAACTCTTTAATGACCCCCTCATTACAGAGCTTATGATGCAGTTTTGCACGCGTCCCCACGGGCGACGTTTCATGTTCTCCTTCCTCTTTTCAGTGAAACGTAATCACTGTCTCCTCTGCCTATTTCCAGTGTTCCTAATCTTTTCAGTCCCTGCATTAATGTGCTTTGATTGCTTTTTTTTTTTATCAAAAACCAAAGTGCTGTATTTTTCCCCCCTCCTACAAACGATACGGGCGCGTTTCCCTCTCGTCTGTACCACGATGGAGCCTTGCAGGAGTCATTGTCCCGATGTCTGCTCCACTTCCAGTCACTGTCTTGGTCCTCTCGCTGTGTTCCACTGACCAAAATCTGGATTATAACTTGATTGATTCTGAATAACTAAATAATGTGTCCAGAACCAACATGTCTGCCACAGCGTTTCCCCTCTCCCTGCTGACCTGCATGGCCCTTAGTGTTAACAACCAGTCCTGCACGCAGACACCTTCACTTAATGACGTGAAAACAAAAGACTTGGCTCACCTTCCCACCAATTTGGTCACAGATAGACACGATTCCCTTTTATGTGCAGCATTTACTGTCAGAGAAACCTGGTCAGTGTGTTGCATTTGCACACGCCGGGTCCACTGACTATCATCGTCTCCTCGTTTCTCCCTGCAGCGGGTCATCCGCAGCAGAAGCCAGTCTATGGACGCCATGGGCCTCAGTAACAAGAAGTCCCACACGGTCTCCACTAGTCACAGTGGCAGCTTTACCCACAATCCCACAGAGAGCCCCAAAACCCCGGGGATTGTAAGTAGCTGGTTTTTGGTTCCATTCAGGGTCCACGGCAAAGTGGATAAACACACTCATGGTGTCTGACGGCTCCAGAACAAACCACTCCCGTTGACACGGCGCAGCACCTCCACTTCCATCTGTCTGCAGCTGAAAGTTGAAATTGCTTTCTACAAGATCACCCTTTTCTCTTTACTTCTCACCATGTTCATTCTTTTTTATGTTTGGAGGGAAAATAAACAAAATAAATCCACATTTTTAGCATTTCACTAATCATCATCATCATTATCATCATCATCACATTGCTGCACAGGCAAACAGACTTCTAGGGCTAAAATCAGTTTTGGGACCAATCGAGTGTTTTTTGTTTTTCTAACTGGTTTTTATTTTTGAGTTTGCCCCTATCCTCAGTGATGAAGTCAGCTCAGTCTAGTGGCTGTATGACTACCCAGACTCCCTCCCTCCCTCGCTGCTGCCGCGGTCTCCAGTCATCATTTCTTGCAGATGTTCCGGGCGCTCGCTGCAGCTTTGTGCATGCATGGCTGAAGGTTGTGCATGACACAAGCTTAAAGCATAAAGATCTCAGTGTCCCGTTTCTGTCTCTTTGAATTATTGTGTCGTGTTCCAACCTTTCTAGTTTATTCCACCTTTTTTCTGGAAGGTCTCTTAAAGATTTAATACCTGTTTGGGTCGTTTCACCCCGTTCTGTCCTTCCTCCATCCCTCTGGATGCGTCGGTAAACAGACTTGTACCCCTGAGGGCGCACTCTGCCAGCATGCTTGCTGTGGCGACACTCCTGCTGCATCTCCTACATTTGGCCTCAACCTGCTTCTGCCCTTTAACGTGTTTCACTGTTATATATATATATATATTTAGCTCACACTGCAAGGTCCCTCTTTAAGCTGTCCTACTCTTTGCTGCATAAACTGTGTGCATGAGATCTTCTGATGTGTGTGTGACTTTTCTTTTTTTCAATCTGTTTTATCTCCCCTCTCTTTCTGCTTCCTCCCCCATCTTGTGTGGCTCAGTCATTGCTTGTCCCGGGGAAAAGTCCCAGTAAATATGGACGCCGAGGCAGTGCCATAGGGATAGGAACAATAGAAGAGGTTCACGTATATTCTCTTTTTACTGTTTATTCACTTTATTTTCTTCAGTTTATTATTTGTGCAAGAACTGTTTTAGATTAGAATGCATTTGAATTTCTGGGCTATGGGAGGTCATTTTTACATTTACTCAATTCATTCATAAGCAAAACACAGCTTTGTTCTGCACTGTAGCAGATTGTGTAAAGAGGGATGTAATCGGACAATTGTACGAATGTACATTTTTGCAAAATTGCTCATTTCTAAGCATTTATTTTTTTCATTCCACAAAAAACTGCTTCAAATAGTATTTTCTTTGCTTTTCTTGTAATTTGGTTCATAAATTTTATAGAAAAGAAGGAATTATTCTCAAATGAACGTTATTTCTCACAAATATCAAATTCAAGTTAACTCTCCAATCTGAGTTCAGTAAATGAGACGATTGTGTTTGATTGTCTTTGTATATGAGACAGAAATGTGAGCAAATGTGTGCAAATGTTTTCTAGTGTGTTGTTACGTCGTCAAAGATCGATGGAACCACTGGTTCATTAATCATCTGCAGCACATTTCCACGTGCCATTACTCCACCATGCCACGCGCACACACACACACACACACACACACACACACACACACACACACACACACACACACACACACACACACACACAGAGGATATTTTCTGTTTATCTGTGCTTTTCTCTCCAAAGTCTTTGTCTGACTGTACTCTCCCTGCACTCGTCAGTCATTGATAATTCCTGGGAAAAGCCCAACCAGGAAAAAGTCCGGGCCCTTCAGCTCCCGCCGCAGCAGTGCCATTGGCATCGAGAACATCCAGGAGGTCCAAGAGAGGAGGTGAGAGGACAGCAGGGAGTGGGTAGTGAAGACAGAATAGTGTGGCAACAGATGGAAGGAAGGACATTAAGAAGAGGATGCAGTGTGTCCGATCCAAATTTTTGTTGGACTGCTTTCATCTTTAGGATTTCTCATTCTAAAACTTTAAATTCATGGTAATTTTATGTGTTGGCTAACTGGAACAGAGCTAATTTTTAATAAAACACTTTTTTTTTATAAAAAGCAGCATATTGTTGGTCTTTAAATGCATCCTTTTTAACCCACCGATCTTCACTCCTGCACTAAAGCCGAGAAGTTTCGCCCAACGCCCAGAAAACACCAGAGTGCAGCCAGTTGTCACAGGAAAACAAGTCGGACAACTCCTCCAGCCACAGCTCCCCAGAGTTCACTGCCACAAGGAACAGGTGACGACTTTTCAGATATTCATTTATGTTCAGAATTATTGAGGCGTTGTTTTTGTCTCATTGTGTGAGTGAGAATGCGTTTGTGCATATTTAAAGATTAACATTCATCCTGATCTCTGAGCATAAATACATACAAAATTTCAAATACGCTTAAAGTAACACTAAACTGTTTCCTGCTCCTCCGCCCTACTGGTTGAGAGTGGAATTACAACTGTCGTAAACCACCCTGCTGTATTTTGCCTGTAGCCTGCCAACAGAGCTAAAACAAGTCTTATTCTTACATTGTGCTGTTTATTCATACATAAATACTTTAAAGACTTGCTTGTCCAAGAAGAAATGTCACCAATTCTGCATATGTGAGTAGAATGCGAAGATCCCTCCACCGTTGAGTCCAAGGTCTTTGAGGCTCTCTTCGGCAGGTTGAGTGTTTTACTTTTGTCTGTCATTGAATAGAAGCAGGCGGTCGTGGGATCAGTATATTCTGTAGCTCTGAAGGCGGTCCTAGCTGACCCGTGTTTTTGTAAACATCTCAAACATCGCTCAGGCTAGGTACATCCTCACACTTGCTCAAGCTCTGGGATTAACATCTATACATAATCTGATGTCTAAAGCTGCCGGCACACGCTGATGGGCCCTCGGTTCAAATTGCACAGGGCTTTAGGGGCCATGGGGCGGGATTAGCAACAAAAAGCTGCATTTCCTTCATTATAACACATTACAGGGTAATACTCCAGATTTTTGCTTTAAATATTTTTACATCACAAATAGGAATGTCCGATATTATCAGCCGAAGTTAGTAAGGAAATATAATATAGGAAATTATCTGTGTCGGCTTTTACTCTTTCAATAACACAACCTTTGCTTACTGTGCACACGTTATCCATCAAACTCTTCAGCTACGTTTCCTGTCATTCAAAATGTAGAAATCTGTTGGATCTTAGTAATAGTTTTTCAGAAATAGTTGGGTTTCTTTTTTTTTCTTTTTTTTTTTTTTTTTTTTTTTGCATAACTGACATATCTTAAATTGAAGTAGCTGTCATATTTTGCACAAATGTTTTAAGTTTAAGTCTCAGGAGAAGTGTGATGATATCCACCTGAGTTTCGTATATTGGTATTGGAAATTAAGACTTAGACTATATTGATATATCGGTGAAGAAGAGGACATCAAACATCCATATTTTCAACACAAACACTCTCCTGGTTTTGGGAGTTTGGGGTCCAAACTTACATCTTTTGAGCTTAAAGATCTCATGGTTGACTTTTGAAAAGCAAAGTAGTAAATCCAAAAGGGTTCAAATGAAGACAACTGGACTTCTTTGGTTTCTTGAAGACGTTTCGCTTCTCATCCGAGGAGCTGGGAGAAGCGAAACGTCTTCAAGAAACCAGAGAAGTCCAGTTGTCTTCATTTGAACCTTTTTGGATGACCTGACCTGGATGACTGAGAAGCTTCACCAGCGCAAAATAGTAAAGTGCTGCCTGAATTGATTCAGCTCACAGGAGTCGCAGGTGTGCGTACGGTCAGAGTAACCCAGGTGTGCAGTTCTGCCATGTGTTGCAGGGCGCCTTCCATCCCCGAGGCTCAGGACCTTTCCCGTTCCTCGTCCAACGCCAGCAGCTTCGCCAGCGTTGTGGAAGAGCATGAGGCTGAGGAGGAGTACGACACCGGCCTGGTGGGTTTTAAACACATTATAGATTAATGTCACTTTCCCAAAACAGGAACAAATAGCGTAGTTTTGGCTCCATTAGCTTTGGTCAAACATTAACTATAAAAAACATGACAGTTTTTTTTATGTGTTGTTCACTGTTACCTGCAGAAAAAACTAAGGGATGAGAATGGATGAGGCTTGGTGGGTTTGGTCTAATCCCAGTGCTGACATGTGTGAAACTATGTTGCATATTGATGTGTTTATCCACATTAGAAACATTTGCATCTGAAAGCAGACAAAACAAATGCAAATGCAGCCCTGGATCGATGCTATAGCGGTGGTCATGCAGCATCGTTTTACAATGTTGACAAGAAATGGGATTTTTTTTTCCTTTACCTTACTGCAGGAGAGCGTGTCTTGTGTTACACCGGTAAAAAGAGACTCGTTTATGTACGGCTCTGCAGTGGAGGACAGTTCCTGGAACCAAGGTGAGTTCAGGAGAAGAGAGATTATATTCCTGCAACCCCAAAGTGTAACAAAAGGTTTAAACGATCAATTATTTATACAGAGTGCCTGTCGGTTTGCTAATAGATGCAGGAAATGGAGGACAGTTTTATTAAATTCACTCTTCAGTCAACTTCTCTTCAGAAGGCCTTGGACTCCAGCCTTAAGTTTGATGTTTCTTATTTTCTCTATAGTTGGGCTATGATAGCATTATGCATATTTATATCTATCCATATGTGTGATGTTATTTACTTGTCATGCATATTTGACAGATTCTACCATTGATGGTCAATAGAAATACTTAAACTGACAAAGTAATGTTACATAAAAAATGAGTGGTTAAATAAAAACAAAAATCAGATATTGCTTTTGAATTTTGGCTCAACAGAAAAAAAAACGAAGAAGAGACCAGCCTGGACAGAAAAGCTGGTACCCCTGGACATAGAGACATGTTTCACTAACATGTGTCCTGTAATTAGCGCCACTGGTAGAGATGGACGATAAGCCAAAAATTTATCCATGTCACGATTTATGACTATAGCTAACATACTTTTGCCCATTTCTGCATATTTGGTGTTTTCTTTCAAAAAGGGACCTATTAGGAATTTTTTGCTCCAGTTATAATAATTCTAGTCGATAAAAAACATGGTTATGATGTTCTTTGCACTAAATTCCTTCCACGTGCAGTTTTACTCTTGGCAGTTTCAGTACCTTCCAGAATGAGTTGTTTCAGTGCTCTGCCTGTCACTTTAAGAAAACAAGCTGGAGCTGGCCATGCCCACTCAGGCTGCAATGAGCTGAGAAGCTCCGATATCCAGAAAGGGCACAGAGTAGAGCTGCTGTTCCTTCAGCACCTGCTCTCTTTTGCACGTGAGAGGTGGTTCTCTTCTTTCTACTTTCCCTGTTTGTGACATCACAAATGGGGACATTTTGAAACAGCTCATTTTAAGCACGTAATTTCTAAAGGCAAACACTGTAAAAAATGAATGGAGGGAAATATTTTCACATTTGTAGTGTTTATAGAGACAGTAGAGACCCACATGGCAGCAATAAAGAATGCAAAAGGTGACTTAAGCTAAATATAAAGAGAGCAGGCTGCGTTAGCAGCGTCTGACTGTTGCTGCTCCAGGTGTTTATTTCTGCATTGAGCTTTGAAAACTCACTTCAGTTTATAGACTTCTAACAAATCAGAAATCATTGCTGAAAGGGGGCAAACTCCAGATTGTAGCTTTAATGTGAGGACACCAATACTTTTATCTACAGTGACATCATTTCTTGTGTCCTCTGTTGTGTGAATAAATAAATGATCAGCTGCACCGCTACAACACGAAGCCACATCCTTCAAACTCACCAATTTCTTTTAAATGACAAAAGCTTCCTGCCTTTTAAATATTCAGCACAACAAACCTCTCTGCTGTTGCTAAATGTCCACCCATCAATCTTTTGCAGTTTGACATGTCTTTGTGTGTGTTTTTAAGCTTGAACAGCTGGAAGCATTATATGCATGAGTTTATTGCTCTTGACAGCCACACATCTGTCCCCTTCCTCCCAGCAGCTACCCGTCATCTTCAGCAACAATCGGATGGAGCGAAGACATCAGAGCCAAAAGGGACAGACAGCCAGCTTAAGACAGAGCGCCCCCTGCAGGAGAAGAAACACTCATCGGTGAGACAAAAGGTTTCAAGAGTCACTCAAAGACACCGAGACAAATTCACTTATCACCAGAAAGAATGCTCCCAACAATATTTTAACAACTCCCAGATAAGATGGGTTTTGAGAGATGTTTAGGTCATTTTTTTCCTGACATGTTGGGGTGGGGGCAGCGCAGTGGTGCAGTGGTTAGAGCTGCTGCCTAGCAGCGAGAAGGTCCTGGGTTCGCTTCCCAGCCTGGGATCTTTCTGCATGGAGTTTGCTTGTTCTCCCTGTGCATGCGTAGGTTTTCTCCGGGTACCTGTAGGTAGGTTTTGTCCTTAGGTGTGTGTGTGTGTGTGTGTGTGTGTGTGTGTGTGTGTGTGTGTGTGTGTGTGTGTGTGTTTGTCCTGTGTGTCTCTGTGTTGCCCTGCGGCTCTCTGTCTAGGGTGTACCCCGCCTGATTGCCCATTGACCGCTGGAGATAGGCACCAACCCCCAACCCACCCCCCACCCCCCGCACGACCCCACGTGGACAAAGCGGGTTCAGACAATGGATGAATGGATGGATGTTATGGGTGAATAATGAAACTAACTAGACCACGTTGTCAATTATAGAAACCATCAGCATGGAGGAATACCACAGCACAGTTCCTCAGAGTAGATTCAGATGAGCAGCTAAGCTGGAGGGAATCCACCCTGGTTTGCAAACATTTATAGGTGGGCCAGCAGATGTATTTCTGGATCATTGATTGCCATTGCGTGAGATGCTCTTAACACAATGATGGCAAAAAATTTTTATTTAAATCATCTGTCAAAAATGTGAATAATTGTAATTGACCCTGTCTTAGAAGATTGGGTTGGGGTTGGGGGTCGTCCAGTCTCCATTTCGAGCTCCCCCTGTGTGTGTCGGCTGAGGCTGGGCTGGCCTAACTCCCCAGTAATATTTTGGTAGCATGCTAAAAAAGTATACGGTTACATTGGTGCTTTAGGAATTTTAGCAAACAAGACACCAAAAACTAGCATAGCAAGCCATCTTATATATGTGATTATATTGGATGGTCACAACCCATAAACATGGGTAGAAGCTCAGGAGGTACAGCGGGTTGTCCAGTAATCAGATGGTTGTAGGTTTCACCCCTGCTACTGCCAGAGAATGCTGCTGTTGTTTCCTTGGGCAAGACACTTAACCCACCAGCCTTCTGTTGGTGGTTGGAAGGACCAGTGGCGTCAGTACTCGGTAGTCTCGCTTTTGTCGTTGCGGCCCAGGGCAGCTGTGGCTACATCGTAGCTCATCCCCACCAGTGTATGAATACGTGTGTGTATGGGTGGATGACTGATTGAGTTGTGAAGCACCTTGGGGGTTTTAGAACCCTAAGAAGGCACTATACCAGAGCATTTTTTGTGTTAGACAGAGATCGGTCATGGGGTGCCATCTACGGTTGTCTTTCAAACTGTCTCTGCATGCTGATGGACAACGAACAATGTGACGTACTCACCACTACAGATGTCAGTCAACAAGGCAGTCTGCCATACACCATCGAAGAAGACACAAATATACTTAATTTTTCTAAATAAAGTACTGAAGTTCCTCTTTCTGCTCGTCTAAGTCTAAAAAGTCCAAATTTGATGCCAAAACCATTTCAAAGGATCTGCCACTGTCGTAGTTTTTCCGCTCCGTCGCACCATCCCGCTTCCTCAAACTGATAGAGCATTGTGATTGGCAATACTTATTGGGCCAATGGTAGACCTGCTGAGGCTCCTATGGAGTGTGGCTGGACCGACGTTCATCCTTTGGCTTTCTGTCTTGATTTCTAGGCCAGCCAACAGTGGGTCGAATATGTAAAACCCTCTAGAACAAGCATCACCCAATCGTGCATACTAGAGACGTGGCCAGGAGGCCTAGACCTTTGAATTATGTAGATTCAGTAAGTAGCTTGCTTGAAGGGCAAGAAAAACATCCTGAGATTATGCTATGGCCAATTTACAGGATTTGTAGTGCAAAAAACCAAAATGACTGACCAGAATGTCGCTTCATTTAGATTTTTTTGTCCTGCTTTTGTTGTTCTGTGGTTAAAAGTTAGTTTTAACCATATTCCAATGCCTTTCTGCAGACCTGTTAGCCTGGAGTGCCTTTTCAGGTTGGACACATCCCAGGTAAAGTCTTTAAGCTATGTTTTCTATGCTCTACTCATCTTAGAAGCTTCAAACTCAAATTTGTGTCTCATATTTTGATACTCTTTTCTTCACTAAGGCATATTCTGCTACAAAACAAGCCAAGGAGAGATCATGGAGTCCACCGCTGATGCAGAGACGGGGTAATTTGCATTTGCTGGATCTTCATTTGTATGTTTGAAGCAGATCAGCTGTTTAGGACAGAGACTCGGCTCTGTGGCCGTGCCCTCATTTTATTCTCCAGCAGTGCTTTAAAAAAGAAGATGCACCTCCACCCCCACGCAGCATCTAAAATGACAGAAAAGCCGTTCTGCTCATCCTTCAGACCCCGGCTCACCGTATACGCGCTCAGTCCTTGTTCTAAACATCCAGATTGAAGAGAAGTCAAAGCAACCACGGACTGATGACACGTGTTTGTTTTGTTTGTACAGAGATAATGCACTACAAGAGATATGTTTTCTAAAATCACATCCCACTGTGACGTTGTACATAGTTCATCTTTGTCGTACCAAGTGCGTATCTGAAGGTCATGCTCAATGTTTTATTAATAACTTCTTTTTTTAAGGTGTTCTGCTCTGGTCGTTTGTGTTGCGTTCAAAGTTTGTCATGTTTTCAGCAAAAGTTTGATGCTGATCTGGAAAAAGAAAAGTCAATCGTCTTTAGAATAAAACAAAAGAGAGAACTCGAGCATCTCAAAGCTGCACAAAAAGGTCCTTCTGTTTAGATCTCGTGTCTCTAAATGCTCTTTGTTGCACACGTGTTGATGTGTGAGTGTGTCTGTGTGTGTTCTGTGTAAATGTGCTTGCCAAAGCCTTCTTATCACACTGATGCAATGCTTCGTATAGAAGAAGTGTTGTCCAGCCAACATCTCAGATTCTTTGCTGACGGAGTCTATATATATATATATATATATATATATATATATATATATATATATAATCTCCTTTTGTAAGCACTACATTAAGTTATTTTTGCTGATTTATGGCTGAAAAGGATTTCCACTGTGATTCGTCTGGAGGTTGCCTTTACGATGGGGAGCAGCTCTGAGAGGTGATGTTTTAAAGGCATTGGGTTGCCAGATGGCTTGAATGTAAAAAGAAATGCATTTATAACTTTGTTTAAAAGAAATTAATACATTTCATGGAAGCCTTCTGAATCAAGCAGATATTTATTGTGCAAGCAGTAGGTGACAGGGTTTACATAGTGATGGTTATAAAAAGACACTGGGCCAAATGTAAAACTGCCTGCTGTGGACATTATTTTTTGTAACAAATAACTTCATTTGACAAAATGAAATCCGGAGAGTACCATTGGAGTCCTCCCCCAGAGACCCACGGTTGTAATATTACAACATCAGATTTAAGTCTACAACAATTAACCTTCCCCATTTTTTTTCTTTTTAAAACCACATTTACATTGCTAATAGGTCCTATTGTTCAGTTCTGCAACACTATTGGCTGTTAAAATGTGTAAATAGGCCCGTTTATTTGGCCTCGTAGAACAACATGTGAAAGGTTAAAAAAAGGTTTTGCAGTTGTTTTCTAAATTTGGGTCTCTGGGGGTTAAAGGGATGTTAGAAGAGAATGAAGTACTAAAACTGGGTGAAATGTTATAATCGTCTGCCCCCTTGTGGCTCTGTACCATCACTGCACATTGTTATGTGGTGTGTGTGTGTGTGTGTGTGTGTGTGTGTGTGTGTGTGTGTGTGTGTGTGTGTGTGTGTGTGTGTGTGTGTGTGTGTGTGTGTGTGTGTTAGCGCGCCACACTGGGAGGACATGTGTGCTCAGTTCCAACGATTGTATTTCTGTTCTTGCTAAGACTTTTGTTCACACGACTTGTTTGTCAATATCACTTTTCATCATTTTGTAAATGAAGCCAGCAAAAATAATTAATAAAGTGAAATATGGATATAATGAAATCAAACCTTGTGGGAAAAAATCTGTTTCTTTTCTTTCATTTTTAAGTAATTGGATTAAATCTGAAACTGTGCCGTGTGTGATCAAAGCAACAAGTAACAATCCTCACGATTACACCTTTGAGCTTTAGTTTCAGCCATGTTTAATCAGAACTCCACGTTCCACCACTTGAAGTCAAACGGTTTACGCCGAACGTTGGAGCCACAGTGCACCTCCCCCATCATTTTGTGGTAGGAGGCAAAGTCATCGATGAACGTGCACTTGAGACCCAGGGCCTCCATCAGGGAGCACATCTCAGCCTCCAGGGCGCAGCGTCCGTTCACCCTGGGACCAAACGGCTTCGGGATGCCAAGGTTCTTCCCCAAGACGATCATGTTGACCTGGGAATAGATGTGGCACGTAACGGTGTCAGTAGCTCCAATGTTTACTTCTGTTTGATGCATCTTGTGAACTAATGATAGACTATAATCCCACCTGAAAGAAAATTTAAAAAAATAGGATCAAACTCACCATATCAGGGTAGTAGGCTGCTGCTCTGCAGGCCTCTTGCTCATCCCTTCTCTCCTCATTCCTTCCCTCATCCTCTTCCCTTCTTTCCTCATCCCTCCCCTCCCTTTCTTCCTTCCTTTCCTCTCCATCCTCCTCATCCCGCCTCTCCCTTTCTTCCTTCCTTTCCTCTCCATCCTCCTCATCCCGCCTCTCCCTTTCTTCCCTCCTCTCCTCTCCATCCTCCTCATCCCGCCTCTCCCTTTCTTCCCTCCTCTCCTCTCCATCCTCCTCATCCCTCCTCTCCTCTCCATCCTCCTCATCCCTCTCCAACTTGAAGAGGATTGGCAGGTCAATAATATCATCCTCGTCCAGGCCCAGCTCTCTCTTCAGGACATCCCTGTTCCAGTCAATGCAGCTCTAAGAAATAAAAAAGTTCAAACATAAAAAGCTAAACGGAGATATCTTGATATCAATTCATAATTAGGTTCCCCTTATAAATGGCTATTGCATTCATTAAAAAGAAAAAAAACATTTGGATCACTATATACTGCCGCCTACAGGTCTGGCATGTCCTTAACAACGTATTTATCCGGGTACGTGTGGACAGAGTTTTTTTTTAAACGAGGTGGTGTGGATGCAAGTTTTTGGAGGGGCGGATATTCGTCTTAAAAAAACGGCTACGTGTGGGCTAGGCCTGAGTCTCTCCAACTTGCACTTAGCAGCCTTTTTTGGCTGCACAGGTGCAGCCACTCATCAAAAATCCAGGCTGCATACAGCCACACCAATAAAAAAGCAGAACGGCATCGGCAGAAACATCTGAAGCAGCCAATCAACTGGTTGCACTGGCACAGCAGTCCCTTAAGATGATGGGTTCTTGTTTTCTTCCATTAGCAGGGGTTGTAACAGTGTGTGAATGTGTGTGTGTGTGTGTGTGTGTGTGAATGGATGAATGATACACTGTAGTGTAAAACACTTTGGAGTCCTCTGATTCTGAAAGGTATGAATGAAGGTAATTTATAATCATCTTTCAGGATTTTCTAGAGTTTTACCATCTGTTTTCCATCAGAAACTAATTCAGGAGTTGGATGCCGGAGACTATTTTGTGTGAATGTGTGTGTGAATGGATGAATGATACACTGTAGTGTAAAGCGCTTTGGAGTCCTTACTCTGAGAGGCGCTATACAAGTGCAGGTCATTTATCATTTATTTTCATGACCTTATTTTCGTGTAATTTAAAAAAATGAATTTGCTATTTTTGTAGCATGTATGTGTGAGTAAGTTAACTCAGCCATTTGTTTTGTTCTATAAAGTAATTAGTTTAAAATGTTGATCAGAGCTAAGAAACAAGTAGGCCACTAGAGGGCAGTGTGGAAAGTTTTAATCCGATTAAATTAGATATGGAAATTATAATGAAAAGAAGAGCAAAAAAGTAGATTATTCAGTATCTTTCATCTCTTAAGGATACTCATTAGTACCTTTACTAAATACAACACAATTATCAATTTACATTTAACTCATTAGCTGGAATGAAGCCGCTGCAGGAGTGTTTCGTTAACTTCATAATTTTTTATCCTGCATCTTGTTAAAGGATCAACGAGAATGCTAGCTATGAATGCTCCCTTTTTTTCCTGTGTTGCAATAAACGTACACCGTTAGCCTTCTGCTCACCTGCACGTAGTTATTTTCACTTCGTAGAGTTTCATCGTGAAGGATCTCATCAACAGTCACTGGCTTCTCATCCTTTAGACCTTTTAGAAACATTTAAAGACAAGCATTAAAGTGCACAGAGGTTGTTGAAGTACATGAAATTTCCAGAAATATCATTATCGTGATTATTAACCATCAAACAGTTTGGCGTCTCCGTGTCCGTCGTTCTGTAAGCCTTTGAATAGTTTGTAGGCTGCATCTGGGCTAGCCAGCAGCAGTCGGAAACCCTGAAGGCAGACAGACCGGAGACAAACACTAAAGCTCTCAAATGATCTAAAATGTCTATTTTCCTACAAGTGTAACATCTACCTTTCTGTCGGGCGCAGGGACAAATGTCATGAACTCGTCCACGTGGCCGACACTGAGCCAGTCAGAAAATAAGGCGATGGGCTTCTGAACCTTCTGAGCCCACAAAAATTCCTGAACCACTTCGGTCATGTTCCGTCCTCTAGTCGTCCTAAAAGAGCAAAGTAGAGCTGAGCAAAAACAACTCCTCTCACGGGCTCGTTTCACTGCTCTGCATAAAGAAAATCAGTGTGCTGTGTGTCATCAGTTTATCAGAGACACACTTTATTTCCTTACATTTCACTTTGTAAGAATTAGCTTATCTTTCAGCTTTTACTGTGTCATCCCGTGAGCTAGATACTTTCTACTTTTTATTTATTCATAGGTAGAGTCATGTTCAGAGGCTGTACTGACAACACAACGATAAAACATATTTAGAACCCTTCAGAAAAGCTGCAGAAGTTCTTGCTCAAGATTGCTTTTGAAAAATGATGAGCAATTCTAATTATTTAGAAGAAAAGGATGCATATGACTGAGGACTGACGCACAGTACCAGTTGCTGTAAAAGTCATGATGGAAGGAGCGTGGTGATAAAGCACTTCTGTTTTCTGGGTTATTTTTCATTTAACCCTTCTTATTGTGTTAAAATGTGGTCTAGAAGTTGTTTTTCTTCTCAGTTATAAAGATTTATGTGAATTAAACTCCTAAACTCAGGTGCGCTTGTTTCAGCGAAGAGAATTCAGCCAGAGGGAAAAGAAGCTGCAGACAGCAGGATCTGGAGTCTTATCTCTCTTCTGATTGCATAACAGCAACACAACTCTACCACTGACTCTATTTGCTCTGCAACGTTGATGTTTTATCTCCACTAATAACACAGGCCTGGGGGAGTTCTGGTATGTGGTAGAGCTGCTAATGCTAACGGTTAGCTTCTACTAGCTGTTTCCTGGATGCTAAACCAACAACAGCCTTCCCCATCGTGAGTCAAGATGAGCGAGTCCATGAATGTTAAGTGACAGTGTGACGTAGATCTGTCAGGATTTTCTAATCCTAGAGTTTCCACCGTCTTTGTTCTGTCAGAAGCTAATGCAGGAGATAGGTGTAGGAGACAATTTTCACGTTCCGTCTTCATGTTAAACTGAGAGTGACTGATCATTTTTAAAAATACTAAAGTTTTCTCAGTGAAGGACCTCTTTGATGTCTAATATAAGAGAGTACATTCTAAATGTAAACTGGTTTGAGAGCTAAGAACAAACCCAAGAGCCTCATTTGTAAAAGTTTTCCCTCATTTGTTTGATGTAAATCAGTGAGGTGCCACACCCGTCTGAAGAATAATCAGTGGTGGGTTACTCACGTTGGGAAGGCGACCCCAATTATGATTCTGCCCAGTGGGTATTCTTTTCCATTCACGGTGACCGGAGGGCTGACCTCCAGATTACCAAACGAGTCCAGGCTGCTCACGTTTTTCCTCTTAGCCACCCGGGTCACATAACCGAAGTCCGGGCCCTGAGGAGACAGGCTGGTTTCAATTATTCGTTCTAAACAAGCAGCATGATTATAGGAATTATTTTTCTACACATTTTCTATGATATGTAGGAATTAACTTTTCATAATTTATAATTCCCCTAAGTCCATCCCCTGGCCTCCATGACAAAACCAATCATGAACACAAGCCTAGAGCGTTGGCCAACAGAGTTGTGTTTCCAAGATGGAGCTGTCAATCAATGACAATGAACCCCAGTACCCAGCAGGCATTGCAGGGTGTTGCACTGATGCAGTCTGCATAACACCCCCACCTAGCTTAACTCAACTTGCATTAAAGCCACTACCTAATCTAATCGGCAGGTTCCTTTATTTGTTTCTTTCTGTGTGTGTGTGTGTGTGTGTGTGTGTGTGTGTGTGTGTGTGTGTGTGTGTGTGTGTGTGTGTGTTTTCATGGTAAAACTAGCTTCAGTAGCATTTTATTTAAAATAAAAATTGATTTGAAGAGAAAAGTGAGCTTCACCAGTAACACTTCATATGGAAAATCGTCCAGCCCTCTGTTTCTGGGTGAATCCAGAACCACGGGAAACGACTGATGGGGTGAATCAATGTAACCAAACTCCACTTCATCCTGGAAAAGGCAGACAACACACACAGAGGTTTAAATGACCTTTGTTTTTGTTAGGCAGTTTATTTTGTGTGCTCTCAGATGCATAAACACTTAATTATATGTAATTAATTACATGTACAAAAACAGCATTAGGACTCTTGGAGTAATAATTATTAGCCATTTATTACGGGAGCCTTTCAGTGAAGTGGAACAGGTTTGTCTTACCTGCATCCAGCGGTCTCCTCTGTTCATGTACTCGTGGCAAACGTTGAGCTTATATCCACTTTCTGCCACTAGGTTGTCCATTTCCTCCAAGAAGACGTAATTATCCTTTGTACTGAAACCAGACAGTTGATTGTGGTTTTACATCATTACAAATAATTCATTTGTTTTAAAAGCAAACTGTGATATCCTATAACTGATTGAATTTAAGGATGTAAGAAAATATCGATAAAGCAATATAATGTGATATATTTTCCTGCTATATTATATGAATGTTCAAAAGCTGTGTATGAAATTTTTGGGAAAATTTTACATGCAAACATTTGTGTGTTTTCTTTTCCTTTGCTGCAATTCAAACGCCGGCCACTAGTTATCAGCAGTGTGCAATGGGTTTTGTTTCCACCAATGAAATATAAATCCCTCTATTATGGTTCACATGTTATGAATCAGATTATGGTTCACATGTTATGAATCAGATTATGGTTCACATGTTATGAATCAGTTTGGACTGTTTACTAAATTTTCCTACGATAAATTCAGTTTAAAATCATCGCTAATATTGTATGGCTGAATGTATCGCAATATATTGTATCGTCATCTCTGTATCGTGATATGTATCGTATCGCCAGAATTTCACCAATACACATCCCTAATTGAATTGATAAATTTACTATAAATGACTTTATTTCACAAACTGTCTGGGAATTTTAAAAGTAATTGAAAAGAGTATCTATATAACGTCAGTGGCGGCCACAAGGGGAGGCCAGTGGGGCCATGACAACCCCTGGAAAATTGTTGGCCACTCCAATGCTGCCCCCCCCAATAAATCACATTCATGTTCACAAAAGCATACATTCATTTCTACATAATTGTTACAGCTAATAAATGTATTTGATTAAATACATATTTAAACAGGACTTGTGTCTTTTTCTGAAATGTTTGTGTTTTTCTCGAGTTTGAGGTCAAGGTTTTGGGCGCAAGGGGCTAAAATTATTTAATGAAAAAGAATGAAGGAGCAACGCAATGCACGGCTATGAGCTAAGCTGTCCCACTCGCCATAGGGACCAATTTGTTGTGCCACTCCAAATTTTTTACTCCCCCCCCCCCACCCACCCCCCCCCACCCACCCACCCCGGGGAAGCATTTTTAGGGGGCACCACTGTCTCAGTCAGGTTCATTATTCATCAGTCTGCTCTTACCTGCAGACAAACACCTCTACAGGCGGGAGGGTGTTGGGTGTCATGATCCACGGAGCCACGCGGAACACCACTTTGTCTGTGAATATGGGCGTCTCAGGAATACCCTGGAAAACCGTTAGAGAGCCTGTGGAGTTCTGCTGGTTTACTGGAGAAATTTCTATCATAATGTGGAATTTGGGTATGAATTTAGGCAGTTCTTACATCGCAGATGGGCTCCAGCAGACTGAGGTTGATGGTGACCAGTCCATCAAAGTCCTTGTCGGGAAACCTGAGGCCCTCCACATAAAAGTTCAGCTCGCCTTCACCTCCAAGGTACGGCACTTCCTGTGAGAGGACCTCACGGCTCAGCACCAGAGGATAGTCCTTTGTGAAGGAACTGAACAGACTCTCTGAAGAATACATTAATGGTAATGATAAGAAGAAGAATATTAATTAATAATAACTTCTCTGCTTTACTCACGAAGGAAATTTGTTGCCTTGTGAACGGATTTAGACTGGAAAACTCGAACGGTCTTGGCATCTTCCTGAGAGATGTGCATGGTGAGTTTGTAGCCCTCTGGGAGTTTAGCAGGACCTCTGGTCCGCAGAACCATCAGGGACATGTCCTTCAGATCTGCACATCCAAAAAGGACACACAGAATTTACCCCCACATCCTCTAGAAACTGGCATCCATTAAACATGATGCGTGTTTTTTTTCATAGCTCAGAATTCCTAAAGTAAATGTCAGAAAATGTTAAATATCTTTTCATAAACTTCAGCTCCTCTGGTTTGAGTTTCTCAACCAACGGAGGACAAACTCACTGTTTAGATTAATTAGAAACCTTACACATGTTTGTGCACACTGGCACTATTTACCAGAAACTTTAGAGATGTGGTCGTCCTCGTTGTCTGGTTCCTTCCAGTAGCTTCTTTCGGAGTCACAGTTGACCAAAACAATGGCTCCGTGTCCATTTGGACCCCATTTCCAGGATCCCTAACAGATTATTATTCAATCAGACCAAGTTCACTGAGAAACAGCTTTGATTTGTTATTTTTGAAATATGATTGCTTGCTCTGAGTTTAAAATGCAGGCTAAACGTGAAAATAGTCCTCTACCCCTATTCCCTGCATTAGCCACTGACAGGAAAACTTTTGGATTAAAAAAGTCAATTCTTTATTTATATTAAAGACAATTAAATGTATTGAATAAATGAATGAAAATAGTATTTAAAGGAACACTTGGCAGTTTTGCTTGTGTAACCCAGAAGCTAGAACCTTAATGAGGTATTAACTAATTGGCTTACTAATATGATCCATCCTCAATTTAGATAAAATATAAAATATAAATTAAGGAAATTAACAATACTAATTAATAGATATCTAATTAACTAATAGATAATTTCATAATGAATTATTGGAAGGGTGAATAACTAAAATAACGAGTTTAATATTAAACATCGGTTAAAACAAGAATCTTGAACATCACTAACAGAAACAGAAGAGGAAAGCTGTATACTATTGGTCCAGGTGGGAATCTGAAATTTCATTGGCTGAGAGAAATAAGTCCCGCCTCCGCGAAATAAAACCGTGCGACGCAGCTGAGCGAGAGGAGAGACAAACGGCTGTGCAGCACGCAGATACAGAAAGCAAAGACTGAGCGGTTAGAGAGAGAGAGAGAGAGAAAAAAAAACAACGGTCGAGGCCGTGAAGAACCCTGATTTGGGTGCCGCATAGATAGAGGGAGAGGCGGACTTGACTCCTTCTAATAAGAGCTAGGAACTTGGAACCAACGCGGTGAGTAAAGAAAAAAGAAGAGAAAAAGCTAACGATGCAACTTAAAAAAAAAGAAACTTAAATAGCTTATCAAATTAATTCCATTCTTATAGATTTGCGTGGAGACGACAGAGTGAACCAATCCTCTGTAGGAGGGAACCGTTGGAGCGCGTTGGTGAGTGAATGAGATTAAATTCAGTAAATTATTAAATTCAAAAAGCTAATTACAGCAACCGAGGTGACAGCAGTGGGCTGCTAGACGTTAGATCCCAGGAGTTAACATCTCAAACTACCAGTTAACGGTGGTAGGGCATATAGGAGTTAACGGCTCAAACCGCCAGTTAACGGCGGTACGGCATATGGGATTCCCAGGAGTTAACGGCTCAAACCGCCAGTTAACGGTGGTACGGCCTAGATGTACAAGGTCCTCAGGGGCGTTATAGCTAACGCCATAGAATTAGCAATGCGTCCCTTAACCAAACATTTAATAATAAAAAAAATAGATAAATAAAAATAAATAAAAGCTAACTGATTAGGGAGGAATTATTTTACAAAGGTGGACCAAAGGACCAGAATTTATATTTTGTTGAATTTTGTTATAGAACATTTTAATTATTTATTTATTTATTTATTTATTTATTTATTTATTTATTTATTTATTTATTGTGTTACAGATATACAAGGTGTCACAATGCTGTATAGAAACACAACTAAATGTATCCTTGTTGTCATGAATGTATTTCTTGTTGAATAGTGTAGAGTAATAGAATCTAACTGAGCCTATTGAGCTGAACAATTGTTGTCATATGTAATTATATTTCCAGAGCTACTGAGAATTATTTTAATAGACAATCAAATTGATGTTATGTTAGTTGAACTGTGAACCCAAACATGATTGGCTATGCCAATAGAGTGAAGCATTTGTTTAAGTCTGTAAGACTTTATGCTGTGATGTGACGAGAAGGGTCGATGCCAACTCGCTAACAGTCCTGTTGTTTACAGGCTGGGTTTTTTTTTTTCCTTGGGTTTGATCCCGACTCCTATGATCACTCACTTGGAACGAGAACTGGATTTCTTCCTGACGAGGGAGATGGCGAGCCTTAACCACTGAACGAACCAGGACATCTCAAGTAACTGAAGAGCAGACTGCTCTCTTCTGTGAACAATCTCAACGGTGTGGTAGGAAAAATCGCACCACCGGACTCTGACTTTCACCCCAAGCGTGGGGATTTGACTTGACGCCGGCTGACTTGTGACTCATATGATCAAATCTCATACCAACCATTTTACTATTGTCGATTGTTTTCATCTGTTTTTGTGTGTTATCTTTATGTGTTATATTTCCCATTATTATTAAAATTTAGTATATAAACCGTTTCATGCTATACCCGTGACTCCAGTCATTCTTGAACAACCTCCAATTCTCCCCGAACCTAATTATTGGCCCATTTGTTTATTTTTTCTTTTAATTATCTTATTGTATCCTGTAATCCGGTTACATAAAACTTGGCGAGCCAGCCAGGAGAATTGTAGAGTTGTTACCTTAGCTAACCATTGACTGACATCATAAGAGTGCCTGGAGGTCACAGTGGTTTGCCATTTTGGCATTATTGGTACTTTTGAGTGTTTTAAAATGGAAGTTGTGAAAACAGAAAAGGTCAAAGTTTCAAATGCTGTTTTAATCAGTGGGTTAACTGATACAGACCTTGATAACGAAGTCTTTGGGTTTATGGAAGGATTCGGACCAGTTAACAGGCGCATTAAGTTACCAAACTGTGATCAGATTATTGTGGAGTTTCAACATGAAGCCACTGTTAAGGAATTAAAGAAACAATGTTTACCCTATGACAAACCTTGTACTAGGAACCCAGATGTTTTCTTCCATATTCAAGACCTAGCCAGCGCGTACAGTCTAGAAACTAGCACATCTGCCACTGATGCCTATCTGTCAGAGCTCAGGGACATAGCTGCGCGTAGCAATCAATCATTTAAAGACCTTCTAATGGAGGAACTGGCAAAAATTGGGGAATCTTTAGGAAGGGATACCCATGCATCTGAACCAGTCACTGAACCAGAGCCAATGCTCCATAGTGACCAAGTTACATATTCCCTGCCTTTAACACCAGAAGTTAACTATATGAACAACTCAAAGGACAATTGTCCACCTACAGAGACTGGAAAACAAAACCCTTGCATTCCACCAAATCTTTTAAACACACCTGAGGTTCAGCGAGTTATTGTGGAACACATTGTTAAAAGCAGTGAGGTTATCCCTCCGCCTACTTCACAATACAGACTAAAACCGTTCTCAGGGCGAGTTCCACACCCTTCTTTTGAAACTGACTATGATACTTGGCGTAGTAGTGTAGTGTTATGCATAAATGATCCTTCACTCACCAAGTCCCAAATTGTACGAAGAATCGTGGAGAGTCTGTCAGCCCCAGCAGCGAGCATCGTTAAAGCTCTTAGTCCAAAATCCGACCCGGAAACGTACCTTGAACATCTCGATTCAGCTTACGCAGCTGTCGAAGACGGCGACGAGCTCTTTGCTCGCTTCTTAAACACAAACCAGGACAGTGGTGAAAAACCTTCCGATTACTTTCAGAGGTTATACACCTTGTTAAACCTAGTTATTCAGAGGAATGGAATTTCCTCCAGTGACGCCGACCAGCAGCTGCTCAAGCAGTTTTGCAGAGGCTGTTGGGACAGCTCGCTGATTTCAAATCTGCAACTCGAACAAAAGAAAGACAACCCGCCTCATTTTACAGCACTTCTCCTCAAACTGCGCACTGAAGAAGACAAACAGGCTACTAAAGCAGCACGCATGAAACAACACTTAGGGGCACAACGAACTAGAGTGTATTCAAATGTGCAAACAACATGCTCTCAGAGTAAAAACACTTGTGAACTGGAAATAGATGATAACTGTGATGACTTACGCAAACAAATTGCTGAGCTCAGGAGCCAAATTGCACAGCTTAAGGTTAACAACACAGATAAAAAGGCAAAGAAAACTCAAAAAGAGTCAAAACCCCGTGTGGGGACTAAAATTCCAGATGAGCCCAAACAGATTCAGCAGATAACAGCAGTGGTGCCCAGACCAAAGCCTGGATACTGTTTTAAGTGCGGAGAAGATGGGCACATAGCTTCTAGCTGTAGCAACGAGCCAAATCCAGCACTAGTTGCAACTAAAAGACTTGCTCTTAGACAGAAGCAGCGCGAGTGGGAGATGTCAAAGCCAATTGCTCAGTCTCCTCCTTTAAACCGGTAGAAGCTCCTATCGTGGGACAGATAGGTGCTAAAGTAGAACCAAGTCCCTCTAAGGAAAGGACAGAGAGACTTTTTTGCAAGCCAGTTCATGCTCATTCAGTGCCAAAACTTCCCAAAAGATTAGTGGGTGGGCGATGCACAGCTACAGTCTCAGTTAACAGTGTTGAATGTAATTGTTTACTGGATTCAGGGTCCCAGGTAACCACCATTGCCAATTCTTTTTACCAAGAACACTTACCTGACCTCTCAATTAAACCCATCAGTAATCTGTTAGAAGTCGAGGGCGCAAACGGTCAAGCAGTTCCTTATTTAGGATACATAGAGATAAGTGTCACATTTCCAAAAGAGCTCGATCAGTCTGGACTTGAGTTACCTACCCTTGCGTTAGTGGTTCCGGATATAAGCTCAAACTCTGATACACCACTACTCATTGGCACAAACACACTCGATCCTTTGTATGAGCAATTGTCTGCCAATAACTTACCTGATTCCAAGGCACTCTCTTATGGGTACCAACACGTGCTAAAAGCCTTAGCAGTCAGAAAAAAACAAAGTAAAGATGGACGAGTTGGTGTGGTGAAGCTTCGAGGGAGAACCCAAGAAGTTCTCCCTGCAAATAAAAAACTGTTACTAGAAGGGTTTATGCAACCCAGCCAAAACAAGCATGAGCCTTATGCACTCATTGAACAACCCACCAATGGTTCTCTACCAGGGGGTATAATTGTAGACTGTTGCCTCATTTCCTTACCTTCACATGGTCCATACAAAGTACCTGTTGTACTAAGAAACGAAACTAACCATGACATCACATTACCCACTAACTGTGTGATCGCTGAGTTAGTTAAAGCCGATCGTGTTATGCCATATCCAGAACCTGACAAAAGTGATCAGAAAGTACTTGCGGCGTGTAGTTCGCAGCAACAGACTTCACCTTCAAACCCTCCTCTCAGT